GAGTCGTTGAGTGCAACTGTTTTCAACGGAAATGGATTCACGCCTTTCATAAGTAATCCAAATAAAAGCTGATAGTTTGAATAAAAAAGAGACTTTAGGTGAATCTGTCTAATCACATGTATGCGTTAAGAAATAGATTTTATTGGAATGATTGTTCAAATACACCATTTTCCTTTGCGTGGCCTTAGGAAAGGTAAAGCGGAAAATCGACAATAGGAATTTCGACAATATCGCCGAACTTGAAAAACTCCCCAGGGGTAAGATGAGGGTGGATCTGGACAATAAAATCCTACATGAAACTGTGTATTGACATACTTCCAAGAAAAGCCTAGGCAGTTTTTCAAATCGGTCACATTGTCGATTTTCCACTAAACCGTTTTGAATCGAATTTCATAACTGTTTCTTCAACGATGTGTCGCCTCAGTCGCTTAACTTATAGATTTGTACAACAATCTTCGATCGATTATCGTTCAAGATTTACTAAGAGTAACACGATTTCACTTGATCGGTGGTTTTTTGATTGCCAAATGGAAGAACTCAAAAATTTCGAAAGAAGGCGATATTTGGATAGGATACTCTTGATTAAATCTGATATTAAATCAGAATTCTACTGTTGTTCGCTGGAAAATATTGTACTTCTATAGTTGCGCTCTGTAACTTGTTCGAAAGTTTTAAAAAAATGTTGAGACAATAAGTACATTCATCTTATGGTACAAACTCTAAGATTTCGTACTTATAGGCATTGCTCTATGATAGGTCGAATAATTTCGTTTTCTTGTTTAGACTGTGTTGTATTTAGATTCAAAAAGGTGTTCATATTAATATACCAACAGTAATCAATTGTTATGACGAAATGAAATGTGCTACAGGATGAAACCTGTCGTGTTATTTTGAAGTTTTTAGACAAACTTATGCGAAAAAGAACCTGTTGAATTCTTTTAATTAAACAGAATAACTGTTTGGCGTCTACTTGCATTTTCTGATGATATAAACGCTTCGGAGAGTGTGAAGCATTTGCCAGACAATTTATTTTGTCTAGGTCTAGTAATCCTCTCACTAAACATCCTTTTTCTACCAATCAAATTGATATTCGATTGTGTAACAACTTGCCGATCAAAGAGAATTGTTGTAATTCTGTCTTAGTGTAAGAAAATGTTATTGTGAAATTTTTTTGTAGGATATAATATTCTGATAAAATATTTATCAACTACACATTTCTTTTCTTCTCATTTCCGTCCCTTCCTTTTTCTTTCTTACGTTGCGTAGGAAGAAAAAAAATCTTACCAGAAGTATATAAATTGATAACAAAACAGTATGTTGGTTGTCATACATTATTGTTTTTCTTTTCCTCAATATTAGAAAATTTTTCTTCGATTTCATTTGATTATTCACTAAATGGGTCACAGATATTGTCGACCGTTACCATGTTACCATGGATATGCGTCTTTACCACCAGCACGGCGACCGTGTTGTCGACCAAGATCTTCAAATTTTCTTTATACTCGAGTATTTAGAACAAATTTCGGACCTCGTCACTATATTCAACGGCATCGAAGGTATTGATCACTTTATGTTCACAAAGGAAGATTCAAATGATATCTGTTCTCCAAATGTTAATTAACATTTGACAAACTTTTGTTATTTTTTACTAATATTTTATGTTATTATAGTTATTGGTTGATTTTCCGAGTGAAATATATGTCTATGATCTACAGACCAAACGAAATAGTTTTTTTTAGTTAATTGAAAAGCATGAAACACGTATTTTCCATATTCATTTGGAATTGAGAAAGAAACGCGATTGGAGTAATATCGGATTATCGAGGATTAGGCGAACTACGACGATTCGCGCTTTACACGACATATTTTCTCACTTGCGATAGATATAAGTGCATCTTCGCAATCTTTAATATACGACGTCGTATTCGTACTCATTATCATATTCAATTCAGTAATAAAAATAGAGCAAAGTGCATTTTATCGACATGAATTGAAAGAAAACAAACTTTTATCTCTTTGCTCCGAGATATTCTACGGAAGTAACGGTATATTATTATAATTTCATACTTTCTTAAACAAACCAACGATATATTCTCATACATGAACTTCCTTACAGAAGTTTTATACTGATAAAAAATCTTTCCTGTTGTGTAACGAAGTCGTATTCAAGATCATTTATAATTAATACTATTTCACATTCGACGACTACTGTCAGACGGATACATATCATGAATTATTAGTTATATCCGAGTAAAAAGATATTGGGATTATATTTCCTACTACGACAATGATTAATGCCGTAGACAGTTGTAAAATTCTTCTTCTTTACTTGATATTTATGCTATCCGTGAATCTCTACGACATGTTTCGCAATACTAAACTTCTAGAAAGTACGATAGACGTAAATAATCCTTTTTTTTGTTGACGAGAATTATACTCTTTACAAGTACGGATTCTGACACGATATAATTAAGTTTTACAGCACGTCGTTATGAAAATCCAGGTATGATGAAAAGTTCATATCCGTTCGAATAATTTATATAATCATAGTAGCCTGAAGGTGTTTTAAACAAATTACATACGGAAGATTCGCTTTCGGATATAAAGTTGTCAGCAGTTGCAAATCAGGAAATGGGAAAAAAGACTTTTCTGGGACAATAACAGAACTCTCAAGGTTTTCTTTTCAAACGTGTTCTATGGAAATTCCTTGGAGTTAAACGTGTTTAATCGTCTCATCCACTCTTGTAATCTGACAATGTTACGAACGTAAAATGCGTAGTTTTTACTTGAATGAATATATCATTTGACATCTAGAATATATAAGGTCCTACGCAAATGATTATGTCACTCAAAGTATGATATTATCATCTTTACTTTTACTTTCACAATCAATGAATTCGAACTAAATGAACAATTCACAACTTGGTATTGTTTACTTGAAATTGAGATATGAAATCAATCTCATTCCAAATACATATTCTATTTGACGACGAGCTTTTTTATGTAATCTATTGTATAAAAATAAATGAATCACGATATTTATATACTTGTAAACCATACAGGTTCATTTCTTGAAGTGGAGTTTATGATTGTGGTATGATTAGTTAGTCGGACATATCGTCATCCGTTTTAGTCTTGTGTTAAAGATCGCGAGATCACTCGTTATTCTATTTTTTATAGGGAAAAACGAAATACTAATGCACCAAAAACACAAATCCAAAAGTAACCGGCCAGTTTCATAGTCTCTCTAAAAGAAGAGAGAAAAACAAACAGAAAACTCCCTTTTTCTATTGATCGAGGCATACGAAAGAATCTTTCAGAGGTAAATTTAGCATTCACGTGTATTTCGTTTATTGAAGAAAGAAACAGCTGACAAAAATCGGAACTCTATAAAGTTGTAGATATGGTGTTTCTGTCCTTCTTCGATTTGTTCAACGCAAATCGCTCTTGTCATTGGTCGTCTCCATGATGTTATCAAAGATTTGAGTTAAAGAACGATCTCAATTTTGTTTTTGTATCTCTTCGCAATTAGCTACAGCTATTGGCAGCCTACCATCGATTCATTTTGTAAAAACCGACACCATACAGTCAATCTGAACACTGATAAGCCAACCTTTATCAATTTTTAAAGGTACATATCTCGAATGTTAGCTCTTCTGAATACAATATCCTATGCAGTTTTTCTTCTATTATATTCATCGCATTCGAATTGAGAGTGTTTAACTTTTCGTATCGTCAGAACGAGAACACGTCCATTTGAAACACTGGATAGAGATTGTACATTGACAATGAAATATCTCAAAACTGTAGAAATGATGTGTTATTGAAAAAAAAACGAGACAAAACGGTAAATTCTAAGCTTCCAAGGTCTTCATAGGTTTTATCACACGCTTGTCTCTTGTAGTTCTACTTTTACTCGGAAAAATCGTATTAATTACAATATGCATGACTGCTCCTTCGAGCAAATACGGATAAAATACCTGAGCCATAAACGACATTTGTGATGTTATTTAATGGAAAGAAAATCGCATATTATCATAGTGAGATGGATGAATAAAGACGAGAGTTGGAAAAATCCAGATATGATTATATATTCTGACGCAAAATCCGGCTTAGGAAGTATTTATACTAGATTGTTGTGACACAGCATCAGTTGAATATATCAATTACCACGATATTTATTGTTTAGTGAGCCAGCAAGTGACGATTACGGAGGCTTCCGTCAAACCATCATCGAAAAGAATGACCACGAAACCAAACACGTTAGCCGGATAAAACAGAAAATGCAGACAATGTTTTTGACCAAGCTTCTAACAAATCTCGTGTCAAGAATTTTATGGATTCTCAGGGTACTCTTACACAAACACTGATAGAGATATAGATTTCTACGACACAGTACCTCAGCCCATTCAAAATGATTCTGTTGACAGGGAACGATCTCATGTAGACAAAGTTGTGTCTGAAAAGTCAACAGAAGTTAATGTCAGTAAAAACATGACATAATTTTCACTCCTTTAGTTTAGAACTATCTTAAACAATGTTCATATGCTCGTATGAAAAAATTTTCCATCAAAAAAATATCGTTATTGATACCTTCTCGGAAAGATCTATTTATTCAAAAACTCCGTGGACATACTTTCCGTGTCGAATTTTCATACAAACCAGTACAACGGCTGATTAAAGAGAAATACATAGCGCTGTTATATAACGAGCATCTTGACATTTACTTATTTACTGTAGATACAAAGTAAACTTGAATCTCTCCACAAGATATGCTAATCATGACTCATATTAGATCTCGTGTTGAAAATAGCTGTTTGATATGTGTAATTGTTTATGGCATGGTAGTGACACAACGCTCATTTACGTGTAGTAGCATACCAGCAGAGCAATTCGAATCGATTTGGAAAACATAATTAAAGTCGCGAACTTCGATTCTTTTTTATTAAGTTAACAAAGATGATGTACACAACACGTAGAAAATCAGTTCAATTTGTCACTCAAGCCATATCTGATGATTGTGCTAGAAATCGGTCAACAGCTTCGCCACTATCCATTCGTGTTAGACGAGTTCCATCGATTTTTGCTGAACACATTGGACATGTGTCATCTGTAGTTAAATATCTAACAATTGAAAGAAAAGAAGATTCATTTGTCGAATATTATTAAACAATACCTGAGAAATTCAGAATGAATAGCCGGAAAATTACACGATGGACATACACAAAAATCATCTCGGATGACGTGTGCTCCCTAAATGTCAACCAAGCTTCATCGTTAACCTAGTTTTGTAAGAGAAATGTTTCCTACTGTAACAATACAATATGGCAATGCCAATTGACAACTTGGACATAATAATTCGTAATCAGGTACACGTTGATGACATTGTGGACACGATGTGTAATCTTCATCTGTTTCACTTTTATCAGGTTTTCTAATATTTCAAAGAAAATATACATTAATCGATATGTTAAATTAATTAATCGTGCTTACCGAACGAGTGCTTCAATTTTCTTCTTATATTTTGTATCGATCTGATCACGATATTCCGGTTTCATCAAGATAAGAGAAAAGTTGAATGCTGTATTATTCATGCCAGCTTTTTGACATTCGACCACCGTTGTTGTTAAGATTTGAACAATATCTAAAAACATATTTACAGATAATATATAACGACAATCGATTTATTGATACATACGTGCAGGAAATTTGCTAACATTATGCGCGACACGATTGAGAAGTCGTGCGGCACGAGTCTAAACAAAAAAGAAGACGTTGATTTCTCAAACATGAATATCTTCTCGAGTTAATACATGATTGTTAAGTTTGATTTGAACTTTAACCAGAATATAACTATGTAATAACATTAGACTATTCGCCATTTCGAATGGTATAGCCGTATGTTGTGCTTTTAATTCTTGATGCATAGTAAATAAAACATCTCGAGCACTTCGATAGTTTCCCGATTCCTGATCTTGCTGTGCAATAATAATTGCTGTTTTCGATGCTTCAGTATACTGTCCCAAACTGAGATAGAACCGAAAGAGATATTTCGCTTCCTAAAAACGACGCGTTTTTAATCGATTTCACTCGTAAAATATGTTACTTTTGGGATTTGATCCTTTTCTCCAAGTAAATAATCCAATAATTTCTGTGTCAACTGTTGACTACGTGCTCGTCCAACACATATCAAAGCTAAATCGATTCCTTTACTTTCATTCGCACCAGTACAACGCATTAGATGAGTTAACGCCTAATAAGAAAACAATGAATTGTTCCAAAAGGAGATAAACATGTGAAAGATCTTACTCGATCGTAGTTTTGTGCAAACATAAAGAATTTTCCAGCAAGTAAATGATTGTTTTGATTTTGAAAGAATATTGCTGTACTTTCCAGATCATCCAATGGGATATCTCGACCGTCTTTGAGAACTTTTTCTACAATCATATCAAGAAATAGTTTCCCGATGCTTGCAATCATATGTCGCTTACCAATGGCTTGTGCATAGAGTTCAATAAGGCCATTTTGTTGGGCCATTGAGAAAGCTTCAGTGTAACATTTTGATAAAACGAGAAATTGTACGGCAGAACTGTAATCATTGATGGATTCGAAGAAACGTGCAACCATTTTTGCACCTTCGATACTTTGAGTTTCACGAACAATTTTAACGGCTTGTTCAGGCGACTTTAATTGATTCAATTGAATTCTAAATTTCCACCAATGTTCATTTTCGTACAATGGAAATCATTCAAAATGACTTACCTAATAGCATTTTCCCATTCTCCTGCTTTCATATAAGCAGCGCATGCTTCTTTGTATCTACCTTCACTTTCTCTTGCCTTTGCATACATCGAATGAATCTTTGGCGTGTTGACGTTCGGAAGAATATCTCCGACTTTTACCCTTCGTAATACAAGAAAAAACCTCACATTATCGAAAGAGGACGTATCTCAAAGAGCATTACCAGTTTTTTATTTTGATATAAGCGATTGCTGCACTATCCCAACATTGTGCTTTTTCGAATAATTCAGCGGCTTCAGGCCATTGTTTCAACGCTTCCAGTAATTTTCCACATTCCTCTTTGATTTCCTTCCCCGGCAATCGTAATGCAATCATCACTCCTCTTTAAATTTAAACCTAGGAAATATTTTCTTCTCACCAATCATCATTTCTTACTTCTTAATTTCCCCAACTTTGATATAACATCGAGCAAGACCAGTCAAACATCTTTGATCATGCTGAATATCCTTCTCCTTTTTCGTTATACCTTGTTCATAGAACTTTACTGCCGAACTCGAATCTCCACTATAGAGAAATCAAACGATTTCAGCTTCATCTGTTTCTTGTACTTACGTAAACTCCAGTTGTTCAGCATGTGCTGCCGATATGTACGGTATTTGGTCAGGATCATAAGCCTTTGCAAGTGTCATTGCTGCTTCAAATTGCATACAATCTCGTCGCATCTAGAGAAAACGAAATGTTCTTTGAAAATATACTGATATCAGCGTCTTACATTTAGAGCTTCAAGTGGACAACCGCATTTGAGGAAAAGTTCTTGAGCAAGGTCATAATCACCAAAGAGTGCAGCGAAATGTGCTGACACCAAACTTTTATCTTCCACATGCTATTGATGATCAGATATTTTCTTAATAAAAACAACAGAAATAAGTTACTAACCTTAATTTCTTCCAAAGTCATAACCATTCCCGGGTGTCCGATTTCTCGAAAAACTTTGATTGCTAAAACATATCACGTTATTACAATTCAAATTCAATTTCAACTCCTTTACCATAATCAACATTGAGGGAATAGAGTAACGCAGTTGCGAATTTATTCCATTCACTGCTATCATTCAATTGTTTCGCCCAAAACATTGCATCTTCATATCTAAATTGACAGAGAAGTTTCGAATGTTGTTAATCGAAGAACATATAATACCTTTTCATTAGAATAGCTTTCGATAATCGATCAATGGCATCTGCAAGTGTATATTCGTGTTCATTGGAATCGTTTAAGAATCCGTAAGTGTCTAATTTCGTTTGAACAATTTTACCAGATGAATCAAGTAGAAGGAGAAGACCTGCGTTGAGAAGTAGAGGAACAGTATTGAACATGGGCACGCGTGTTGTGCCGACAAACATTATTTGAGGTCCTTTTAGTGAATCACGATAGACAGAATATGTCGAGATTGAATCCGAATCAAAACTAATGAAAATCCACTAAGAATGACAAAAAATAAACATGATTAGGAAGTAAAACTGATTTTGTTTACTTCATTTTCGACATTTGTTTCCCAGAGAATTGACCTTGTTCCGGACGGAAGATTCGGGATTTGAATGATGGTTGGATGTTCAAAAAACTAATCGAACTCGAGCGTCCAAACGAAAAAAAAAACACAAGATGACTTACTACATTGTACAAATATCCATCTCCTTTTTGATCAATAAATGCAACGGATGTACCAAAGTTCTCTGGAAATAATTTCTGAATTCCAGTCTTATGCTTATCGAATTTATTCACAATTTGCCATTCCTCAATATGAAAGAAATTCAAAATTCCTTTCTAAAACAGCAAAGAAATGAATCATTTTGATGAAATTCTAACAAATCATTTTACATCTGTTCCATAAACAAGATAATCTTTGGTTAAACCGTAGCAAAGTATTTTCCCATCATTCGCATCAGCTAAAGGAAACATGATTGATTGCCGTTCTTCACTACGTCGATCCGATTCTTCAATCTAAAATCTCTCACTGAATATCTTCGATCATATTTCAGATTTTTCTCTCAAACCATGTGTAATTGAATACGTCCATTCATAAACGCAGCTGCATAGGACGAATTGATTTGTAATTCAGTAATTGTACCTAGATAATCATGTTCTGACGCTCGTTTCACTTCTAAAACAAATCTCATTATTGCAAACAATCCCTTTACTATCAACCATTCGAACCTTCGATACTCTGAATACGATAATACAACGCTCGATTATTAAATCCAACAGCAATGTAGGTATCACTCATTGCTAACACACTTGGTTCGATTTCTGTTGTCAAATGAATACTGTCGACCTTGGTGAAAGACAAACATTTGAAGTTCAAAGTTCAAAGTTATCTATTTTACTTTAGTCTTTGTTTGATGATCATAGATCGAAACCTCATGTAAGGACGTCAGAAACGCGATTTTTTGCTGCCAAACACTCGCTACCATGGATAATTTCGTCAAGTAAACATAAATTGCACCTGTAGCTTTAGCCACTGCAAGTAACTGACCGTCCACACTCCATGCTAAACAATGAAAAAGAAGAAGATTTGCAATGTGTAATCGATAATATTTACAAATTTCAGTAAGATTTTCATTTCCTTCGTCGATTGTGATGATCGAATCAATAACGTATTGATCTGTTAGTTCATGAAGTTTAATTCCACCATTTCCGCAAGTTGCTGCTTTATTTAATGCAGTAGATATCGCTACACTCGATAAATAACCTTTATGATCCCGAGTTTTATGCAATTCCTAATCGAACGAAAGTAAAATCTTCATTTTATCGTTTCCAAGAATTACTTCGCCTATCTCTTTATGATATGTCGAAATAACAATGAGATAACCGCCACTAAATCCTATCATAATATAACCATCCCCAAACCTATACAGTTCAGATAAAGAAAACATAAAGAAAGAAGGAAGTTTTGTTAACATTACCATTGATAATCAACGATATCGCCATATTTATCTTGGAAATTTAATGTAAACAATTGACTACCGGTATTCGAGGCAGCATTACTATTCGGATCTACTACTGTCCACAAGCCTAAGTGTTTTCTACCAATAATGGCACTAACCTACGAATAATCATTTAAAACATAACCGAAAAAATGTCAATTCAATGTCCTACTGTGCTTTCTTCGTATGTTCCTCGTTTTTCTCGTTTCATTTCCGAAAATTTGATATTTTTCGGCGCTTCATTCGTGGCACATCGTTGAATAACCGATCCAGTTGATAACATAACAGATATATGATTATCGTCTGCTCCTATTGCTAAAAGATTATCTTTACTCCAAGCCATTGTTGTTATTCGACCAGAGTGTTGACCGAGTAGAGGTACTTTTCTACAAGAAAACTTTGCTTTTGTCATTCAATGAAGATTCTCAACAAACTTTGCAGTGGATTGATCGTAAAGAATAACATTTCCACGTGATGTACCAATCGCCAAGAGAGAAGATGATTTCGACCAAGCAATAACAGTAACTGAATCCCTAAAAATACATCTTCAACAAAAGAAGTCATTCAGAAGAAAATTTACTTGGTTTGAGTGTCAATTGTCGTTGTCTTTTGACTGGTAGAATTCCATAAATAGACAATATTCGATTTTTCATGGATAGCTGCTAGTGTATCTCCATCTTTATCCCATTTCATTTGAAGACATGGCCTAGAAACATATTATTGAATATCTCAATAGTTAATTCAAATGTAGATCTTTACCCGCCCAGTGATATTTGAGAAATTTCATCCCCTTGTCGATTTCGGATCGTAATTTTATTCAATGAACTAAAACGCTTCGGAATGCTTTTCGTTTTTCTTTAAATGAGCCACTCTTACCCGACAGCAGCGATATGTGTACCATGACCTGTTTGCCAAGCGAATTTTGGTCGATCACCAATTTCCTCCGGACTAATGGCGAATAAACGCTAAATAGAAACGCGAGTTCATCACAGATGGATCTTTATTGAACGATCGTACTTTAGGCGACGATGTCATTTTGAACTAAATATCTTTCTTTTCTTCAATCGAATAGACTCGTCACATATATCAACCATTGCTGGATTGCGTATTGTCTAGTTACCAAGCAACGCTTGGTCAACCAATGAAAATCATTGTGTGAAAAATAGGAAATGAGAAATGAAATTTCGAATCCGATTTCAATCGATGCTTTTAAATAAAAAAAGATTTGATAATTTTCATGAAATTTCTCATATAAAACTGCACAAATGTGTTTAATTGAGATGAGTCATTCCTTCTTTTTCTTGCTTGTCGTGACGTCGTCACCATCTCATCGTGGGTTTGTCCAAAACGTAGAAGGACGAGAAATCTTCGTGTAGTTATCATCATTCTTTACCTTGCATCATCAACTTTTTATTTTTAGACCACATCAGGATTTTCCAAAAACCAAACATGTCCGCTTTGCAATCATCGTTTTTTGATAAAATTGCCGCTCAAGGTATTCCTGTAAGTATCGATGATGAAATTCGATTGAAGTTTTTGAAATGGTTGTTTTTTTTTTCTTATAGCTCGCACTATGGTCATCAATTATGAGTGTTGGTGGTGGTTTAGGTGAAGTTTTTGTCAACCAAGATGCTCGTATGCATATTGCTGCGGAGCATGCACTACCGGAATTGCTTGAAGCACATAAACGTTCGAAAGTCTTATCGAATCTATTATTACTCGTCAGTGGAACTTCCGGATTATTGGCTTACCAACAAACAAAAGACAAATATTGGCTTATTGGCTCAAGCTTAATGTTCGGTAGGTTATAGTAGATGATTCTTAAAGATCTAGTTTGTCTGTGTGTGTTTAAGCCGGTGTCCCATACGGTGTTTTGGTTGAAAACCCAGTTGCTGATCAATTGAAATTCTTAACACTTGATGCCCGATCAGAAAAGGCAAAGAAATTGATGAGTTCGTGGGGTGGCATTCAACTTGGAAAATTAGCATTGGCTGCCGGTGGAGCGACTGTTTTCTATTGGTTTGCTCGTCGTTAAATCAATATTCAAAATTTCCTTTCTTACCCATCATTGATTTAAACTTGCTGCCTGGAATTTTTTTATCTAATCGCGAAATAGTGATATTAGTTGACGTATATTTTCTTTTTTTACTGATTTGATTTTCGAAAAAAGGAAAAGAAATTTTTTTCATCAATGTGATCGTGACACCGGTATCTTTCCCCTGCTTCAGATTTTTGAAGAATGACAGCTGGAATCATCGATTCGCTGAACGACATAAAGTAAAGTGATAATTTACCGTAGAAATCACTTTTCTATACGTTTTCTTTCGATTTCTAGTTACACCGGTGAACTAAACAACGAAAACAATCTTGAAGATGCTTTAAAAGCAAATTTAAGATCTGAACAGTTTCTTCCTTATGGAAAATTAATCTCATGGTTAACCCAAGAGTTAAACGGAGCCTATTCTATAGATGAATGTGTTCAAGATGTTAATTGTAAGTCACATGTCACAAAAGTCGATACGATCCATTGATTTGATTTGTAGCAATTAATGATATTAATAATTTTCTACTCGAATTGGGCGGATTTCTTCGGGATTATGGTTGTCCGTATCGGAATCTTGTTGACAACGAAAACAGATTGAATGATCGTCAGTCACGTTTGCAACTCTTAGGTCAGTTTGATTTCGAATGAAAAACTTAATATTTTTTTTATCGATTTGATTCGTTTTTTAGATTTTCTTTGTACAGAAGTTCAAGCGGCTCGAATGAACAAATCCGCAAGACGAGAAATCGTCGCTAATGGAACATCCGACCATTCACAGAATAAAAAGGTTTCTTCACAAAATTCATGTAAGACATTTGTTAATGTATTTCCGTTCTTTAGCAATATGAAAGTGATGAAGCTCGAGATCTGAAAGCTTTGCTCGTCGCACTAGGATTTCCTCGACCACCTGATAACATCACCGCAGGAGAAATTTGTACGAAAGTCTATGCAAAAGTTAGTGAATTGCTAAAAACAGTGTCACCAAAGTATCTCGGTCGACCATTGATACAAACAAATATGTCAGAAAATCAATGGAATCAAATTCATAAGATTAATAAGATCCTTTATGAAGACTATAAGACTCGACGAGAGCTGCTATTGAAACGACTCGATGTGACTATTCAATCGTTCAAATGGGCAGAACGATTGAAAGTAAGAAGATGAAATAAGTTGCAAACGATGTCGGAAATTTCCTTTAGGATAAAACTGATGAGATCTCCAATGCATTCATGACTAAGCGTCGAGAATTGACAGCTGAACCTAATGTAAGAATAGAAGATATCATGGCTGCTCGAGATGGTAAGAGGAAATACGATATGAAGATCACGATTTTGAATACTTTGTTCGTTATGAAAGATTTATGTCATATGGAGAAAACATGTGGTACGAAAGAAATATCATCGACACGATCGAAATTACATAAAGTTCTCATACCAAAAGTAAGATATCAAAAAAATGTTTGAAGACGAGAAAATATTTCTCTTTTTGTTTTCTAAATGGAGGAAGATAAGAATGTTTATGAATGCGTCTGTATGATATTTATCTTTAGGTGCCTGATCGTGGTGGACGAACTACAGAACTTCAAGCGCCACCACCTGATATGCCTTCGTTTCAACGTGGCGGATCAGCAGGTGGTAATCGTCATGGTGGCGGCGGTCATCAACAACAACATCACCACCATCAGGAACAACGGAATCAATCGAATGGTTGTAAATTTCGTCTTTTGAAAGCAAAAGTAAAGTATAACAGAACATTTTTCTTCAGGTCATCGAGGAGGAGGTGCTGGATGGTCAGCACGTGGTGGATATGGCGATAGACCTCATTCGGGTGGCTATCATCAACAGCAACAGCAACAGTATGCGATGATGGATCCGGGAATGATGATGCAATATCCTCAGATGGGGTATCAAGGTCAACAGCAAATTGTAAATGAATACGCTGCCATGGATAATGGAGGAGATTATGGTGGTGGTGGACGAGGGCGAGGACGAGGACGTGGCGGTCGGGGACGAGGTGGCCGACGACCTTATTAATCGACCGGTTGTTTTGTTAATTTCTTTTAGCCAAGCTTCTCTCTCAATGTATTGTTATCGATCTATTTGACGATTGTTTTATTATGTTTTTCATTCAAATAGATTTCACTTTCATTTGTTTTGTTTTCTTCTTTCAGATGGTGAAAATCGAGCCGATTAAACCGGTTATTCGTTCTCGTTCATCCTCATCGTCATCAGATGACGATGACAGTGACTATGATGATCTTCATTCCATATCTTCATCCGATTCGGACCTCACCCTAATCGAAACATCTATAACAAACTTATCGAAAACTTCTCCCAAACGTTCAATATCCACGTCTACCCATGTCATTCCTCAAGGAACATTAATTCGCGATGTGAACAACAATCATTGGATTATTCACCAGTGCGTGAAAATCTCGCATCAGAATGAACGATTCCTTTACTTATGCAGTCAAGTGAAAAGATCCATAGCAGTAAACGATATGAAAACCTCCGAAGACAATCAACAACAGAACATAGTGAAAACGAAAATATCCCCACTGATGTATTTAACAGACAAGTTAAAACAATCGAGACAAGCGGTGATCGATAAAGCACGAGCTAAGAATGATAAACTTGATTATGTTTTCTATGGCGCAGTGATTGGAGAAACAAATAAAGAAATCGCTTCGATTTTATCAAATAACGATAGGTAAACGTTCAAGAAACAATCATGTTTGAATGATTTTCTTTGGATTTAGACAAGCAAAATCTCTTTCGTCGACATTGACTGAAACACACACGAATAAAATCATTCATGGAATTGTGGAATTTCTGACTGACGATCAAACTTACGATGAAAATCAAATCAATAAGTATTCAATTGAAATTCTATTCATTCAAGACAAGAAGAAATCGAACTTAATCACGAATCCATCAGAAGTACTTCAACAAATCTTGAAAAAAGAGATCGAAAAGTTAAAAGAACTACGAAAGAAAACATCCGCCATCAACGGAGAATCGCATAAATTTATTATAACTAAAAAACCGGGAAATTCTCAATATGACATCCGAGAAAGTACCAATAATGACGGAGAAACTTCTTCATCATCCATCGAAACTTCACCAACAAAATATTTACTAAAACTCGAATCAACATCGTCTTCTCCTTCGAAACACTGCACAATCGATGATGAAATCGCGTTTTATTCCCGCTTTGCCACACACGAAAAACTCAAATCTTATATCAAACGTCACAATCTTATGTATATCGCTATTCCGGAATACATATCTCATGGCACATACAAACATCTGAATCTAACTTATAAATTCTTGATTATGGAGCAATACCGCGAAAATCTCCGATCGTTGATTTACTCATACGATCAATCATTACCGGAACATAATGCGCTGAATCTATTCTTGCAAATGTTGTATGTGATTCAATTTATACATGAGAAGAACTATGTGCATCAGATAATCAAACCGAAGTATATGATGTTTGCGAATAAACAACCATATTTCATCTTTCTAACACAATTTCGAACGGTTAGAAATGTACATGAGATAAACAATGCAACCGGTAAGTTCTTCGCATCGATGTACAATTAGTGAAAGAGATTCATTGGATGTTTTCTTCCAGGAGAAGTTCCCAATGAAAGTCGTGTAACAACAATAACCAATGAAAATCATCATCTAAAACAACAGAATTCTCAAGTAAAGAAAAAAGTCAAACGTTCTCATCGTACTCAATTAGCAGCTATTCAGAATAAAAACTCATCAGTCGTACCGGCAGCATCACCAATCATCGATATTCCAAGTCCATCGATCGAAGAAGATAACTTCTTAGTCAATGCACCTTCCTATCATCATGTCTTTAGCGTCTACTCTTCACTTGACATGCATCTCACTAATAAACAAACATATCGTGGAGATTTAGAAATGCTCGGGTATAATTTGATCGTTTGGTCCGGTGGACGATTACCATGGGATAAGAAAAACGGCAGTGTTCATGCGAAATTCCAACGCGATACGATTCCTAATGAGAAGAAACTGGCGAAATCGAATGTGAACGAATTTGTGAAGAAGTGTTTTTTTATGAAACTCATTTCACCTGTCACCCTTCGAGCTATTTGTGATTATATGTCAACTGTCTATCAATTGAATATCGATGATATCCCGAACTTTGATCAATTGCGTGCACCGATCAAGGAAATTGTGAAAGCGTTGGGCTTCAAAGTGAATATGCGATTGCAATTGAAGAAAAAAATATGTCTCATTTTTAGGCAAATGCGTGTCTGCGTTTATCAAATTCGAAATCGAAATCAAATAACATCAATAGCAATAATTCGAATTCGACAAATCAAACACAGGCAGCGAAAAGCAATGAGACAACTGGAAAACATGTGAACATCAATGATATAACATCACCTGCGAAAGAACTTGAAGTTGAACAAGATGATCTCGAAGAAGAAGAAGATGATGATGATGATGATGGCGACGTCGATGATGATGAAGATGAAGAAGAAGATGATGATGATGACGATGACGACGAAGAGGTTCAATTCGATGTCTCTCTCATACTTGATTTTATCGGAAATCTTTCATTTTTTAAGAATCATCCATGCCCACCAGGCTCAAGTTCATGCGACGAAGAAAATTCCAGCGAAGAGACCGACGATACTCGAATGGAACAACAGGCACCGACTGTACCAAATCAATCCACAACTTCCAAGTGTAAACGTTGTGGTGGTGACCATTCATTAGAAGATCAACAATCTCAATCAAGTAGTGACAAACAGAGTAATAGCAGTGCTGTACCAGGTTCAACGATCAATTCCAATACACTTACCTATCAACAGAAACGACAACGATCGATTGCTAAACGGCTCCAATTGCGTCGGAAGAAGAAAAACTAACGAATTTGTGTACATATTTCAAGAAGAGAGACCAATACTGGATGTCACTTTTCTCTCGGAACAAAAACTAACGATTATCTTCGGTCTCAATTGATTTCTATGTGCTTACGCGTGTGTAAACAGTTCGTTATTACGCGATGATTTATTTTCTGTTTCCGGTCAATCCGATATTTTTATTTGTGATAGAACCGTTTTATTCTCTGTTTTTTTATTTATCGTTTCTCTTATTCTATCTACTGTATGCACACAAAACGAAACAAGGTAAACACACACACATACACACATGTTGTTGTTTTTAAATTATAGATAGAAAATAAATCACGAGAAAAAGACGTTCGAGTTCGTTTTTTAGCGAAGAATTAATCATTACAATGTTGTTTGACGATCAGATTTCTCTCATCTCTAATTTCAAAGTCGAAATCATGTCAATATTTCATTTGTCTTCTTTCACATGGAGAGAAATTTTCGATTGTTCGTGTTGGTGATCGTTTTTATGAATATTTCTCCGTCCTATTCGGATTTAACCGGTACACATTATTTACAAACGATTAATTGTTCATCACCGTCATTGTACATCTCTCAAGGTCCTTATCTATTTAGTCACCATTGGCCATTTACATCGATTACAATTGAATACGAAAAGCAAGTGTCTCGAGGAACGTGTTATCGAGATGGATCACTGTATTTCACTTTGAATACGAATAAAATCTGTTCGGGAATTTATTATGCTGGACAAGCGAAGCTTTTATGTCAGAATGGTAATGATGATTATTGTGTAATTCGAATGAAAACAACGGATGATCGTCCGTTAACGTGTGAAAGTTCAAAAGTCAAATCAATGACAATCAGATCAATCGGACTTATCATTTTTCTGCTATTCATTTCCTACTAATCCTCTTTTCTTGTCGCCAAATATATTTTTCATAACCTTGACATTTCATTTCTCTCCTTGCGTTTGTCCTTACTCGAAAAATTCCACGATATCTCCTCTATTTTCAGTAACTATGTCCTCAAACAACAATGTCTCAAAGGTTACCCGTCTTACTTGATACTCAAAGTTGTTTAATGCTTCAATTGAACATTCTTTTCGTTTACTTCTTCGCTAATCCTTGTTGTAGGCCGATATTGAACGTACATTTCTATTCACCTCTGAACGTCATAACATTCTCCGCTGTCGGAGTTTGATAATCCATCTTCGATATAGACATATATGTAGAAGACATAGTCATGACTTTCTTTGTAACGAGGACAATAGAAAAAAAGAAAGAAGACCTTCGATTAAGAAGGCGAAGTTCAACACGAAGAGAAAAAGATGTTAATCGCATATAAATATCCGATGAAAACTTCACTTCGTCGTTTGATTTAACAATTTCTCAAGTCTAAACTAGAATCATGGCACGGATTACATTGATATTACTTTCGATCGTTCTACTTCTGAATGAAAATCTTCATGCATTGCCACCAATCAATTTTACTGATACGATTTTGACAAATCGCATGATCGAAGCATTAAACGAAGCACTTCTTGCTCGTGATGGACAAGAACTATCGCCATTTCAACAACTCCGACAACAACTTTATCATCAACAACAAGCTGCCGAGCAACAAAATCAACATCACATTTATCAACCCCAACCGCAATTATATCCTCAAGCATATCCAGAACAACAACAACAGCAACAGAATCAACAGTTTTATCCACAATATCTTTCCGAACAACAGCAACAACAACTCTATCAACAACAATTTCTAGATCAACAAACTTTAAATCAACAATTATTTCAACAACCAGTACCATTGAGCTCACCTTCTGAGCAACAACTGCCGCAAGCGACTCAGCAAGTTTATCCTTCTGAGCAAAAGCCGTCACAATCAGTACAACAAAACTATGCTCCCGAACAGAAAATACCACAGTTAGTTCAACCCAACTATCTTCCCGAACAGGCACAACCGCAGCAAGCTGTTAATTCAGATTCTCGAGGTATAATGAAACAACTAATACTCTCAAATTCGCCGATAGTTGTCTTTAGGTTATTATTACCCTTATCCCTATCAAAATATCAACTGGTACAATTTCGCTAGTTTATGGCCAAATGTTGCTGCTGGTCAAGCCAACGTTGCAGTACCAAGCACTGGCGCAGTTGTCGAAGCAGCTGGTTTAGGTACGAGTGCTGGATGCCCAGTTGGTTTCTGTCCAAAAGGCGCGACATGTTCACAACTTTCTGGTCAATGGCAATGTGGATGTAGTACCAATGATTGCATCGGAAGTGAGTGATTTACTTTACTTTTCGAAAGTCAAATGAATTCTGTTAAGTCGCAAATCCTTGCGGTGTTTTTGGTCAATATTATTTTCCTTATTATCCGGATGCAACACGATTCATTCAATGTGATCAAACAGGTGTGTTTTGGATACGTCGCTGCGCTCCTGGTACGATCTTCGATCCTAAAATTAGTGTTTGCAATTATCCGCCTGTGGTTGTCGAAACTGGCAAAAAATAACTTTTCATCTGGACTGATTTGTTGAAATATGTTTTCTCCTACTTTCGAGCTTTTTTACTTCTTTCAAGTTCTACTTAATATCCGTTCTTTTTCTTGAAATAAATCGTAGTCGAATAGGTTTTTATTCATGCCAAATTTTTCATCTAGCCATAATTCACTCGGTCAACAGTTCGTCCACTTTTGTACACAATTAAAGTACAGTCCAAGACGGTAAATGTATGCTAACGAAGTATTTACATTCAATCTTAATTAGAAATTTTCAAACTTCTATGGACTTGATTCCACTTCATACTCATTGATTTGCTATTTTCCTTTTGTCTTATTATATCTCTAGTTAATTTTTTGTTGCCAAGAAAACTTACAACATATCATGAACAAACATACACGCCTACTTTAACTCAATCTTTTGTTCGTTTTAAAACAAAGATCGCGATATTGAGGCATGCACAATGGCAGCAAATGGTAATTCATTGGTCGTTGACAAGAATACTCACGGTTTAGAATATTACGAAGAAGTTGATCACAGTACACTTGATTTTCTCAATCGAAATCAACGTTCAAGAAAAGCACCGGCAAAACCTATTCGGGAAGTGATTCAGATCGTCGATCCTGTTCAAGAACTGAACAAACAATTAAATCGACAATACCGACCTGATCTTGTATGTTAGAATTTTGTAATCCTATTATTCATTCTTCCAAGGCGAAAATCGAATTTCGTTATGAAATTTGTTTGTTCTTATTTCAATTAAAACAAATGCATAATCAATTTTATTCTCTTCTTTTTTCGAATGCGACATGCCTATTGATTGAGACAAAAATTTCTTCATAGGTCATTTCTGCGTACTCAAACAAAAGTCAAATTTTTTCTTCCATATGATCTCCTATTCTAACAGAGTTTGATCATAGAATAGCACAAACTTTAAAAAGTACATTTCCTAATCAATCCCTGACTTTCGTTTCGGAATGTTAATCATTGAAAATGAATTTTTCAGAATTATTCCTTCGAATATGATGTTTTTTGTAGGCCGTCTCTACACCCGAATCATCATCTGAATCACCCGTTAGTTTACAATCTGTTCCACAAACACCAATTCCGAATCCTGTTGTATTCGATGCACGTGTAAAACCTGCAAAACTATCTGAAGAAAATAAAGAACCATCGATCAGTCTCAAACGACATTTACGTGATCGTATTCATCAAATAACTGCACCCACTCCCATACTATCAGGTAAACAAAGGAAAAAGTTGCGAATTCGGCTAGTGAATAAGAACCATTGCCTTTGTAGAGGAGTTCAATCAAGAAAATCTTGTTAATACAAACGAAATACCACGTGCTGGTGTAACAAGAATACCAGCATTTGAAAAACAAATGAGTAAACACGATAGATCTTCGAAATATCCACCACCTCATCCCATTGTCTCGGATTATCAACCTCCAACAGTGAATTATAATAATTCTATTAAAATGAATAGGGTAGCACCGCCACCACCAATACAAACAGATTATACTGTTAAAAATTATGATCAGAACAGATCCCATAAACGTAAAAACATTATCCGAAATAGATTAAATCATTAAACGCAGATACTTTTCTTCTATAGTTGTTCAACAATCATCATCATATATTTCATCAAATCCACAGTTTCAATCAAAATCTATGGCTTATCAAAAACCAATACAAAACTCAATTGATCGATCGAAACCGGATAAGAGAAAGTCGAAAAAAACAACTGGCCAAGATGCTACGAATACGAATCGATCATACGCTCTATACAATCAGCAAAACGGACGTATCGGTATGTTTTCTATATACTTTCGCAAGAACAAGTTGTCAATATCTTTTGATGTGTAGAAGGTATTGTCAAAAACCAATTGAATGTTGCTTCGGATGACGCACTTGGAAGTCAAATTGTCGATGATAACACTGCAACGAAAAGTAAACTGGTATGAATCCGAACCTATAACCTCATTTACGTCTAAAGCTCATATCTATTCAGGCTTTGTGGCTTTCACAACCGCTGTGTTTAGGCTTGACACGATTAACTGGTGGACTTTTATTTGGATCGATGATCATTCTCGGTATCGGTTCATTTGCCGGTCTTATTGCATCGATTGCTACTTATAGTATAGGTACGTCTTTCTACTTTTTTCTTTCATTGATGAATTGAGAAAGAATGGTTTAGATAATGTCAACGATGCTCAGTGGAAAATTCTCGGTATGGTTGTTTGTTCCATTATGTTGATAACGATAATTGTGACATTAATTGTATTTATTTGTTGTTACAAATATGGTTATATGTTTAATAAGGATGAAGACATGGATGTCGATGATCCATCAGCAGCGTACGATGCAGAAGGAAATGAACGGCAAAAGGCAGTTTTAAGAAAAATTTACAAATTTAATCGTCCGGTTGACACATCGTCAATTCCATCCGGAAGACTCCAAGATGTTTCAACAACAGACTCAGTAGCCAATCAAGTGGTCGAAGTAAATGACAAACAAACAAATACAGAATCGACAATCGCTGTCGTACGTCCCAAAGATATTGAACGCGGTGTTTGGGCATCGAGAAATGCTTTCGGAGGAATTGTTTATCGTCCACTTGTCCAGCCGACAATGGTCTCTCGCATTGTTCAAGTTCTTCCAGAAGATTTCGAACTAATGCAACCGACTCAAATCATGTATCAAGTGGTCGTACCGCAAACGGCTGAAATTCAATCGAGATATGTTGAAGTACCCGTTCAACAGCCCTCGTACGTCGAAGTTATTGAAACAAAATCTAAACCATCACGAACACTTCAACAGGCATCTATGGTAGAACGGACTGAGGCAAAATCGAAACTGACAAGAGTAATTCAAGAAGCACCTGTAGTAGAAATGATCGAGACAAAGCCGAGTCAGCCACGAGCGACAATTGTTCGTCCACCACAAACTCAACACATCGTTGTTCAACAATCGGTGAAACCTCGTTATGAATACGTTGAGGTTGACGAAGATTCAACAGTACTTCGAAAAGGTCGACCTCAGTATGAAATTGTTGAAGAAACTACCGATGAATCCGACGATGCATCTGTGGAAGAAATTGTCGAAATTGTTGATGCACCTAAGCATCTTCAACAACAACAGAAATCGAAGAAAAAAATTAAAGAGACTAGAAAAGGCTTTGGAAATGTGCTTGTTAAACACGTGAAGTCCAACAACGATGAACCTTATATGGTTGTTAGAGATTATCCTTCTTAAAAGTACTGTTGTTCTATTCTTCTTCTTCTTCGTGTCATTCAAATAATAATATTATCGACAACAAAGTCAATGGACTATAATGTAACGAGAACTATACCAATAAGAACTGTAGTGACATCTGTCTACTAGCTTCTAGATGCATCGAGAGTGTTGTAGTCATTGCATCAGACATAAGCTCCGCTATAAACCGATGAAAAATGTATTCGTCCTATAGTTTTTTTCCTTTTCTCTCTCTCTCTCTTCCTAAATCGATAGCACTGTATGATCACTACTGGAAGAATTATCTCCCATTTACCTGAATGTCGAAGAAAATTCTCGAAGTTTCGAGAATGCTGCACACTATTGAATATATAAGCTGATCCCAATTCATTGCTTTTTAATTGTTTCTATTCTCTATCAATACAAACATTTTCTTAATGGCTTCATCTCGTATTGTTTCACGTCTTCTTGTACCAACTGCTCGCTGTGGTCTATCAATGATAGGCAACCCGAGTGGACCGATTCGTACGATTTTCTATCGAAATCCACGAAATTTACCTGATGTATTTCTTGGTTCATCATCGAATGTTTTCCGCGACTTGGAAAGAGAATTTGAGCGTATGCAACGAAACTTCGATCATTTCTTCCGTGGTAGCAATACAAACAATACTGTCGATAATCGATCTTTGACAAATTATACCGGCGATGCAAATGGTAAATAAATGATTTTGTTTTCGATGAACTCTTCTTGAAAAGAAATTTATTTTAGAAAATAATATGATTGTAACAGAAGCTGATGGATCGCGAAAGTTTCATCTGGCATTTGATATGCGTGGCTTTGAGCCGGAAGAAGTGAAGATTAAAACACAAAATGGAACATTAGTTGTTTCAGCGAAGAAAGAGAAGAAAGTATGAAAACAAAGATTTCCTTTGCTTCAGTTTCGATGTTTTCACTTGTTCTAGGCTGGAAATAGCTATTCTCTTCATGAATTCAGTCAAACTTACACATTGCCTGAAGATCTCAAACTCGATGAGTTGAAATCAAAGTTTACTGAACAGGGCATTCTTTCTATTGAAGCGCCATTACCTAAAGCCGAAGCAAAAGATCGCCAGATTCAAATTGAACATGCGAACTAAAAAGTTGTTTCTTGTTAGTGTGTTTGTATAAAAGTTTTTGTTGTTAGTTAAGCTCGCATTTCGAAAAATAAAAGTAAAAAGTATAAAATTGATCGCGAGTTTATTTGAAATAAAAGTTAGTAGAACAAAAATTCTTCTATTTTAATCGAAACAGCTGCAGTTTATTCGGTTTTTGACATTTTACAACAAGAAGATCGTTTCCCAATCTTCCGGTATTCAATGGTGAACTATCTTTACCTTGAACCTTCTGTATTTGGTTATCTTCATTAATTAACAACAATTCACGTTGTTCACTATCAACAGCGAGCCATTGATTGTTCGCTAATGCTGACAACATAGTTGTTGTCGGACTTAGTTCCAAATGATGGACAACACGTGTTGCTAAATTGAAGTCGAACACTTCTAAACGTGTAGTTTCACCTTTGATTAATACACCGACATGTGTACCGTCAGTACGAATTGTTAAGATCTGCTGATCAGTTTCTTCGACGACTTTCGCTTTTGTCCATCGATTGACTAATTGTAAAGTTGGCTTCCATGTCCATTTGGCAACAGCGGATGCATCTGAATGGGCGAGAAAGATATGTTCGTCATGAGCAGTAATCGATGCGAATTCGAGTTTGTCTTCACCAGATTTGTCTTTTCGGCTGAATTCTTTTAAATGTTTCATCTCGAATGACTCGATGTTCAATTCATAAATGTGACTTCGAGTTAGGACAAGAAAAGAATTTTGACATGATAAATAGGTTAAATCATTGATGGTTAAAATTCCTGTCGAATCGAACTCTTTCCATTCCAGTTCTTTGATTTGTTGAAGTTTATTATCGAAAAGACGAAATTTCGTTGAATCGTAAATGAGAATATTCTCATCTGATGTTGCTAAAGCTATTTCATCGGTTTCAAGGTCACATTCATGTAAAGCAGTACGAGATAATTCAGGCACATGTTCGAGTTTACGCAGTTCTTGATGAGTTCTTTTCTTGGATTCGTCGACAGTTGCTTGTTTAGGTTTGTTCAGATTTTCCACGTCAACTTTATTTTCGTTGGTCTTGGAAGGATCCGATTCACGATTTGGTGCTGACGCCATTTAATGAAATAAGTCCGTCGGTTCAACCAGTGTGCTTTTTTAAGAGAAAGAAAAATATGGATGACTCATTTCAACCATCAATAAGGAATCACAGATGTCAGCTTGCTACTGGTACAACTTCTCATTCGTATCACATAGATTTATAGGTACCAATGGATTTGGAAATGACAACTATTAGATTAGTAGGATATTTTATAAGTGTAGATGGTGCTTTAAAGTATTCTACGACGGAAAGACGGTAACTAAAAGTGAACTTGATGATGTTTTCTTTATTAAATGGAATAGTAAACAAAGAATGATAATAATAATCATGACTTTCATGAATCGATTTTTCTCTTTGTTTTCGAACATATATTGTTTATATACAGACAGAAGAAGAAAGATTAATTTGATTGATAATATATGTTTATTGTTCAAGCATATCTTCTGCTGATGATGAAGGTAATGGTGTTGAATTACTATTGCTTGAACTACTATTCTCATCAGTAAGATTGGCTGCTGGTGGCGATGATGATGATGAAGGTTTATCTTCTTCTTCCTCCTCTTCTTCTTCTTGATCACCATCATCTTCCTCGTCTTGTTCCTCTTCATTTGTATTTTGTCCCATCTCATCGTCTAATTGAGTATTTGTTGTCGAACCAGCTTGTGTTTCTTGGCTTTCGACTCGAATTGAGTCATTGTCGTTGATGTTGTGTGGAATGGCAAAACCGTTCGTGATTTGAGAATTTGACAGTGAATCCGACGAGTCCATCGTTGTTGACGATGATAAACCATTTCGAGGTGGTTCAACATAAATTTTACTGAACAAGATACTCGTATGAAGATGCGATTTATCAATGGTGACTTACTTTCCTTCATTGTCGATCGTTGTCACAACTGAAACACATTTAGTCAAACCACGTACGAATTTGTCTGTTCGTCGGTAATGCGTACGTGGCGAGAGAATTAATTCACATAAGCGTTGAATCGTAAATGGTGCACTTTGAGGATAAAAAGATAAGAACAAGAATTCCAAATGAAAGATTTTTACTTTTCAAACGAATTAATACGTTCGACGATGTCGCTTTTCAGTTCTTCGAATGTCGATTGATCTACGTTTGGATGAATATCCAATTTATCCATACTTAATTCATTATTGAATTCATCAAGAACAACAATTAATTTTTGAAGAAATAAAGGTTTGATTTTTTCCCATGGATAACTACAACCAAACGATGAATAATCAAGACGCAATGGAAAGAAATTCCTACCGTGAATAACCGGTTTTCGCGATTTGCGATAGAATTTGTTCCAATTCAGGAGTTAGAATTCGCTCATCTTCGGCTTTTTCCAGATATTCTAAAAGGCAAACAATACGTTGGAAAGGTCGATTTTCCCGTTCGATGAGAAATTTACTGTCAAGAATATCAATCACTGAATTGGGTGATGAACTTGAAGTCACCACAGCCTGTTCGTGTTCTTCCTCAGCGATTTCCATTATCTGTTTATTACAAAATATATTTCAAAACAAAGGAAGAGAGTCAAAGTGAAGTTAAAAATTGCATCTGCTATCCCATTCGTTCTTTTTTCTCCAATAACAAAAAAGAACAGCTCACCATCGAATTTTTCATTATTCTATCATCATGGTTGAACTATTAGGAACACATTGTGAATATCCAGAATGTAACACACTAGATTTTCTCCCGATCTACTGTTTTCATTGTGAGAAAACATTTTGTAAACGTCACGGTTCAGCACCTGATCATTCGTGTATATCTTTACAACAGACAAATTTAGAAAATTCGACATCAAATTTACCGTTTCTTCCATGTGCTTATTCAAATGGCTGTAAAAGTCAAAAATCTCCGATTAGCTTCACATGTTCATTATGTCTGAAGAATTTCTGTGTTGAACATCGTCACGTCGACGATCACGAATGCCCAAATCGAGCACAACAACAGCCGATGACTCATTATGCATCTCAAACGAATAAGAGTGAGCCGAAAGCGACGAGTAATTACCCAACAGAGAAGTTCGTTGGAACGAAAAATGAAGCGTTGGCAAACAAAGTGGCGATTATGAAGTTAAAACAAAGTGCGAAAGGACCTGTCGGAGTTCCAATGGAGAATCGACTTCATGTATTTGTACAAATTGATGACGGCGATGGAAATAATAAACGATACCCGTTTTATCTATCGAAGCTTTGGCCATTGGGAAAAGGACTTGATTATTTAACCAAAGAATTGAAATTACTATCAGCAAATCGTATTATAATTTTGGAAAGAGAAGACATTCAATTGGATTTATCGGCGACAATTAGCGATTTGAAACAGTTACATGATGCAGATGTGATTATTCTGAGAAAAAATTGAAATAAATTGAAAAACCGGTTTCATTTTAATCTAATTAATAGAAACCAAAAAAGAACGTTTGTCTTACTGATTTCGTTTTTTTCGGCCAGAGCCGACAACATCAGCACCCCCGAAAGTCATCAATACATTCTTGCAAAAATTCGCGAAAATATTTACTCTTTCTCTCTGGAATACAAATTTACTTACCTGTATACATAAATAGCTTTCTCAGTCGATCTGAGAACATCAAAACAACAGGTAGTGGAGTTGTTTTTCGAAAACGTTTATTTCATGCATCGAAGTGGAGTATTTTTGTGTGAAAGCCTTCGGTACGAAAAATTTTCCCCGAATGTGAAGCACTATTTACTCTATGCCAATGTGTTTTTTTTGTTCCATACATCTCGTACAGTGTCATAGCGAGTAGATAATTTGTATAAAGCTTACTCATTTATTTCTCACACAAAAAAGCACAACGAAAAATGATAATAAAAAAGTAAAAAAGAGAGTTTTTCGGCAGTTTTCATCTAAAATGCTCACAGACCACATCGTTTGCGACATTCCTCAATACCAAGTGATGGATTGCCCTGAATATTCATACGAATATCCTCGATCGTTGTAATGTTCAAACCACCGAGATTAGCACCAATGACGGTTGCTGGTAAGGCACCAAAGTAAGCATTGGCAATGGTCAACACACCAGGATCTTCGCTGTTAAATGCTGCTACGAATGTAGCAGGTTCGCAATTTAAGTTCTGTTCGAAATGGATGGCACCTTTGGGAAAAACTGCGACTTGATTTTTTGTTATTTCATTCATGATGAAAGCGGCACCATTTTCTTGATAAAATCCTACTTGAAAATGACCGTCAACTGAGTAATTGATTTCTGTTGCACGAGGATGTGTGTGTGGTAGATTGATACCACATGGACCGAGAAATCCGAGTGTCATAGCGACACCGTGACCGATTAAACCAGGGAAATTGCTGGACTAAACAAAAGGTATCTTAGCAAATTTGATAACAAATATTGGAACACTTACAGTAGCAGAAACTGTACGGCCACCAGTACCTCTTGAGACTCCTGTTGTTGCATTATTGAAATCGAAAATAAAATCTGATGGATTGGTTTTGGATAGAAGATTCAATTCCGAAAAGGAGTTTTTAATTGCTTCTAAACGTGCCGGTGCCAATGGATTCGATAAATTAGCTACTTTGGTAGTTGATGTAGATCCTGCTGTTGGCATTGTTGCAGTGGTAGTGGTACCGTTGGTGGCTAGTTTTTGACAAACGTCGGCATTGGCAAAAATCGTCAGATAGCATAAGAATTGAGTTAAGTCCATGATGAAGTAAACTTTGTTGCAGTTGTAACGAAAGTGAAAATAGAAGTCTATTCGCTTGGTATTTATAGCTATTCATGCGCAGTAGGAGAGAAATCTGTGATATATAAAAATCAAGCGTTGTTGCGCTCGCTTCCATACATGAGTCATTAAAAATCATGTATAGACGTGGTTAAACTGTGATTTTGCGTTCGCGACTGTATAATTTTGAAGAAAAGCGACACGGGGAAGGAACAGAATCCATCGATTGTCATTGCAACAATTTCGCGTATAAATATGTCGAGATTTTTTCGTAAAAACAGAATTGAATTTGACAAGAAGCCACTTAAGCGAAAATAACTAAGACGTAAGTAACGCCAATGTTGTTTTGTTTGCTTTTCAAGGATAAGCCGAGCGAATGTTCCTTTGAAGTTTTGAAACACTACTAAGTTTATCTAATTGATATTTTGTAATAGACGAAAACCCTTAATTATCAATGGATCCTACGCCAGACGAACTACGACATGCATCGAATCGGTCGAACAATGGTTTGCGAACCGATTCGAATCGATCGAACAATGGCACGCGAGGTGCATTGCGAAATTTCGGAAGTGCTCTTCGGGCAAGGTTGTCTGCGGCACCCGCTCTATCACGAATAGTCTCGTAAGTCTCATTTCGATGAATCTATCGGAATTTACTTGGAAAGATTTGTTTAGAGGAAAAACTACTTTGAGTGCTCCGTCGGATCGAGTCATTACCCGACTGTTTAATGATCTTTTTCATGAACCAATATCAGATCAACATCAGAAATACTTTAGAAAATACTTTGGTTCAGATATTAGCACAAAAACTTTTAATATTCAAGACTTCGGTCGTATGTTTCAAATGAAGAAAATGCTCAGTATGTTATTTTGTTCCAGAACAGAACTCTTCTGATATTCCTTCTTCTATCTCATATAGGTCAGCGTCTATTAACTGTGTTCAATCTGCAATCATCAGTGCAAGCCGATCAGATCTTGGGTAGTGATATTATTCGTATAGCTCGTGTACTTTGGAGTTCCCCTACATCTGTGAAAGCGCTGATATTATTCAAATTATTTGATGAAGACAGTGACAATAATGTAACAATAGACGAAATTCGTTCATTCTATGAAAAATATTCCTCAGAATTCAATTTTTTCAAAGACGATGAACATCACAAAGAGGTTATCAACATATTTCTACGTGGCTTATTTCCAATCAATGACGAAGATGTACAACAAGAGTCACTAACCTTTGACGAATTCTACAGCACTCTCCGACACAATCCTGACGTTTTCAAATCACTTTATCTCATTAGTATTCCTGATCAAGACAAAGAAGAAGAAAAAGAATTTACCTTCTCCCAACGTTGGTGGCTGTACATAAAGAATAACAGCAATCGTCTTGCTTTTCTCGCCATTTATATCCTGATCCAAATCGCATTGATTATCTACGTGTGTATCTATCGAACTGTTATCATTCAAAACACATCTGTCTGGCGAGTGATCGCCCGCGTGGGCGGAATGTTAGTTAATTTCAACTTCGTCGTTGCTGTTATTCTCATGCTTAAACAATTGATGACGTTCATACGGAAAATTGACTTTCTTCGTTCAATTGTGCCAGTTGACGATCACATTGATGCACATCGACTGGTCGGTGGAATGATGTTCGTGTCTTCAATGGTACATGCTTTTGGTCACACGGTTCATTTTGCTACGCATACGGATGGTGAGTAATGAATTGAAAGTTGACATTCATCGATATGATTATGTTTTTGTAGAACAAACATGGGCACAATCGATGTTCACAACAGCAGCAGGAATAGGTTGGGTGGGTCAAGCTGCTACGATTACTGGTGATATTTTATTTGTTTTTATGATCATTATGTTCGTTTGTGCTTTGCAATGTATCCGACAACGAACTGGTTTCTATCGCCTCTTTCAATATACGCATCTTTTGTTTTGGCCAATATTTATTCTGATGGTTCTTCACGCGCCAGACTTTTGGAAATGGGCTATTGGGCCAATGATACTATTTGTCCTAGAGAAAATTTATCTACTCAAACGCTACTCGACAAAATATGGTCGAACTCGTTTGAAATCAATTCGTATTGAAGATAAGAATGTTTTAACATTGATCATCGAACGACCAGAACGTCTTGAATTTCGAACCGGTAGTTACATCAATGTTTGTTTACCATCGATTAGTACGTATCACCTTTTCTTCCTAATTGATCATTGATGAAAGCGAAGTACTTGTCTTTTTATTTGTAGCAAAAATCGAATGGCATCCATTTACAATCTCCAGTGCACCTGAACGAAGGGATACTATTCGTTTGAATATAATGAAGAAAAAAAATTGGACTAGAAAAGTTTACGAGCACTTCGATAAGCGCATAAGTCTTACTACTTATCCAAATCAATTAACAGATATTGCAGTTGTCACCAATAACGAACAGACTGTCGACACTGCCAGAGAACTCGTATTTGAAGCAAAAGATCCGGATGCAGTTATTTGGGTAGAAGGTCCATTTAGTACTTGTACGTCGTACATCTTTGATCATGAGCATGTTGTTTTAATTGGTGCTGGTATTGGAGTGACACCTTCGATCAGTGCTTTAGATAGTTTAATTCAACGGTTACAAAAGGAAAGGTGTGTTTGTCCTAATTGCAGTACACTCAGTTATAATCATGAACGGCTAAATAGTCAAAAACTGAAAAAAATCGATTTTGTTTGGATTAATCGTGAAATTGGGAACTTCTCATGGTTTCTCGATATTCTCGGTGAATTTGAAGCCGAACAAGAAAAATACTTGAGTACTCTTACAACATCATCAAGTTCCAGTCAACAAGCACCGAAAAGATACCTCGACTTTCATTTATATTGTACATCGTTACGAAAGAATGAACGTGCGATGCTCGATCAACTTCCATACGACCTTGTTGCGAATATGTACGCGGCAATGCAACGACGAGATATGCATACAAAATTGAAAGCACCAACACATGTCGGACGACCACCATGGAAATTGTTATTTTCGAAATTTAAAGCAGAGCAGAAATCAACGGCGGTGTTTTTTACAGGAAATACAATGATGGCAGGTGAAATCAAACAACACTGTGACGAATTAGGATTCGCTTTTCAACATGAGCCTGGATTTTAAAACATAAACGAACAAATAATCAATTATTATTTTTTTTTTTTCAAAATAAAATTATCATATGTAGAATGATATGGAATGATAAATCACGATTAGATGAAATAGAATTTATCTCATTAGTTTTCTATCGTTCTACTTTGTTATTCCCCTCGTGTTGGAAGGTCAGGTGAACTGTATCCATCCTGATTTGACGTCGAGGAGAAGAATGTCTATCGATAGATTCGATTATGTATTTGATATTGTAATTTGTATTCGAGTTATCTTCTTCCGATGCTGTAGAATCAAATAGAAACAAATACATCCAAGAATATCCTTAAATATATAGTTGATATGAAAGTACAAAGACACAAAGGACTGATACCAAGCGATACTACATTACTATATCCTCTTGGATTTTTATATAAGAATGAAAAGCTATATTGATATTAATAGACTGATTGATGCAGATGGCATTGGTTCGTTATTCTTCTAGTATAGATATATAAACTTACCTTTCATTGGTGACTAAAGTATTGATAAAATGAAGTAAATATGAGAACAGGTACGCGTAATATTTGATATTTTTCTTCATTTACACTTTTGGGCAGTGCGCGACAGAAACGAACACAAATATACATTAAATACCAATTTTCATGTTTCTTCGTGCACCATGCAAAGTCAATTTAACGTTGGATGTATTTAATAAAAAGGAACATACGGATGTTTATCATAATCTTGACTCGCTTGTCGTTCTATTTGGGCAACCAGCTGACGAACTGCGCATCTATATAGAACCAACTAACAACAAGACTTCTATTACATTGCTATGCAGCGATTCTCGGCTACCAAATGATAATCGAAATTTGGCCTATCGAGCAGCTGACGTCTATCTTAAACATATTGACGAACCTTTTCATGTAAAAATAGAACTGGACAAGCACATACCAGCTGAGGCGGGACTCGGTGGTGGGAGTAGCGATGCGGCGGCTGTTTTGCGCGCTTTAAATATTTATTTCAATCATAGGATTGATCAAACAACATTAATGGCAATGGCAGCTCGTCTAGGCTCTGATGTTTCGTCCTTTCTGGCAGAAAAGCCTGTGCGCATGCGCGGCTATGGTGATGTTATTGAAACACTACATTGTGAACTACCTTCTCTATATGGCGTAGTCGTACGCCCCAATACAGGCGTATCAACAGCACATGCATATGCACTTCTCGATGCGATTCCAAACCGACAGCCAGGCAGTAGTACCGAACAGCTTCTTTCTTGTATACGTGCCGATAAAGACAGTTCAATCGATATTGTCACACTACTAGCAAAGAAACTTTCCAACGACTTTGAATCTGTCATATTTGCTGCTTATCCGACTATCGCAGAAGCATATGATATGGTACTCAGTGCCGGTGCGCTGCGTGCTCTTCTGTGTGGAAGTGGTTCGGCTGTTTTCGGTCTCGCTCGAAATAGTCAGCACGCGGAACAATTAGTAAATCAACTGGCTCCTCATTTTCCTTTTGTAACCAATGTTTCAACTGCTACTCTGGAAACGTTTACCATCAATCACTTTTGACAGTGTCTATGTTTTCTTATATTTCAGATTGAAGTCTTCAAGAATTTGACTTGCTAATCATTTCCGTCTGACTTTCTTTTCATTCCGATGTGTCTTATCTCACTCATTTTCTTATTAATAAAAGGTATTTACTTGAGCTTAGCACTGTTTTCTTTGCTTAATATATGAAATGCTGAATCAATATTGGCCGATTTACTGCTGTATGATGCAGAAAAATATGGTGTATAACGGTTCTTTATGCAATATATGCATTTTGATAAAATATCTTTTGTAGGCTTTATTATGGCTTTATGAAGCACTTAAGTCTAGAGTGCAGTCAGATGGATTTTGAAAATAATCTTGTCGATTATTTTAGATTCGCTTCTCCACCATCGAGATAATTTCAACTGACTCTCAATTTCCATTATTTGTCTTGTATATAAAGTGCAATCGGGTCATAGAAATAAATCACAGCTCATAATTGAAACACTTACGTACGACTAGGAGTCTCTAAAGTTCTGTTCATTGATAATCGACAGTTTGAATCGGTTCTCGAGCTTGCCTATTAGTATAATCAGGTCCCAAGTACTTTTAGGTACTATATGACATCGAAACAAACACGAGTTGGTATGGGCTTTGATGCTCATCGTTTCCTTCCAACAAAAAACGGCCCTTCGAACAAAATTATGCTCTGTGGAGTACCAGTTCCGTCAGAATATGATGTGGAAGCTAATTCAGATGGTGATGTCGGAATTCATGCACTCGTGGACGCTTTACTCGGTTCAATAGCTGCAGGTGATATTGGTATGCATTTTACTCCAAATGATTCACAATGGGCAAGAGCAAAATCTGAAATCTTTCTCAAACATGCTTTAAAAATGGTGCACGAGAAAGGTGGTGAAATAGTTAATATAGATATCACTATTATCGGTGAAAGACCTCGTGTGTTTCCACATCGAGAAAATATGCGTAAGATGCTTAGTGAATTATTGGCATTAGATATAGATCGTGTCAGTGTCAAGGCGACTACAACGGAAAAAATGGGTTTTACTGGAAGAAAAGAAGGCATTGCTGCACAAGCAATAGTTAGTGTCCTTGTGTGATTATGTATCGTTTAATAAATTAGAACAATGTTTGAGGATAATGACACGGAAAATACCCATCCTCACTATCAAGATCATTATTTAGTTAAGGATTTATTTCACTACGTGAAGTACGCACATATAAAATATCTTGATTACAGGTAAATTAAATATGTACAAAATCATTGGAAATATTGTGTTTGCTCGCGAGGAAAACCGTTAGACAGTCATATTATTAAGGATTGATAACCGTTCAACAAGTTCATTCGATAAAACGAGTTCTGAATGATCAGATGGTAGTTTAAGTTGCTGAATACGAAGTGCTTTGGAAGCGAATTCATATGCTAAAGAATAATCTTTACATTCTTCGAAAAGTAAGCCTATTTGATAACATGTTCGAGCGACATATGGATGTGTGGGAGCAAGTAGAACTTCTCGCATTCGAAGTGCTTCTTTAAAAGAAACAAGTGCTTCATTCACCATACCCATTGCTCGCTGTACTAATCCTAAATTATGATAAGTTTGTGCATGTCCGGGATGATCTGTAGGCATTTTGCTCTTGTAAAAAATCAATGTTTTGTAGTTTAACTCTAATGCTCGATCGTATTGCTTTTCGAGATAATATGCATAGCTAAGTCGATTGAAATGGAAAATTGTTTCAGTATTATAATTATTCGAATCACAATTATAATAGAAAGTAGCTTGTTCAAGTACAACCAAAGCATTTTTTGAATCATTCAATTCCATATAAACAGTACCTAAACCGGCTAAAACTGTTCCATACTCATAACTATGTTGAGGTAATAATCGACGATACAACAATTTTGCACATTTGAAATAATGAATGGCTTGTTGATGTTTACCTAAAAAACGATACATACGAGCTAATTGATAATGTATATTAGGACGATCTTCATGATTGACAGGTAATTTTCGTAAAAGTCGCTGAAAATGTTGTACAGCTAATGAATATTCACTTATATGAGCCAATACACGACCATATAAAATGGTCGCATTTGTTTCCGAAAGTCGTTGATGCATATAAGCATCATATTCGCGACTTCGTTGTGCTGCTTCATTTGATCCTGTCATTTGAATATGCCACAGATGATCTAAATCACCATAGAAAATCTCAGTGATGACGAATGTTGTTCCGAGATCGAATAAGAATTCTTCTTCGTCTACTATGAAACTTTGCTGTCTGATATCTGCACCGATAAGATCAGGTGTTAGATGGAGATCAACGTTGATTTGAAACAGGATGAATTGATATGGATCTGTTCGAGATCGATCTCGATCAGAATCCGCGAATGCTAAAGCAATTTGACGAGAGTAAGTTGAAGAGAAAAAGCCATTACTCGATACAGTTGAATCGACTTTTAATTGTTCGACCTCATCACGATGTAGTATTGTACCGCGATATACAAAAAATGGTTTCAAATCACGATATCGTATCAACGCTAAACTTTCACATAGATCAAAGATAAAATATCGGAATGTATACAAAGCATGTACATTATTTGAACGTAGAGTTTTGTTCACCAGAGAAGAAAGAAAACCTGGTTTTGTATACCATTTAATTGCATCACATGATCGATAATTTCGTTGAAATTCGTCTATTTCTTTCAGTTGAGAAGGTTGATGATAAAAACATTTTCGACATTCTCGTAACATTTGAAATTTCGCTTCTTTGGAATTATGAGGCATGTTTATAAAAAGTACTAGAAAATTTGAACATCTATCGCTGTGTCTCGACAAGACAACACTAACCTCGAAATGTATGTGTCCAAACGAATGCACCCAAATCATGTTTTAGATTTCGTAATGCTTTTTCTGCTGAATTGCAAGTAGAAATTAGGCCTGTATCATTAATATGTTTCTCTGTAGTACTGATAAGGTTTTGTAAATTGCTGCAGAGTGAATCCCATTGATCAAAGTTCTGAATTAATTTCAAGTGATTTTCTAAAGTTTTACTTGGCTTCGTCTCAATGCGATTTTCATTTTCGACGTTCGCTTTGTCTTTTTGTAACTGTAAAGTAAGAATAGCTTGAAGTTGCCGATATGAATGGAGTTGCGAAAGCATCGTTTGTATTTGATCATTGCTGAAATTGATAAATAAAAGAATAATACAATGTTGTGATGAAGCTTTCTTGAAATATTTTATGCATTGCAGAAAGTTTTCACAATGAAAAATAAGATACTGATGGATTTTCCCATAATCAAGAATCTTCATTTCGAATTCGGTTCGATCTTTAATAACAAGAAGAGAAATACCTTCACGCATCAATACCGACCGCCGTAATCGACAATTGGTAAGCTTCTTGGAATTTTCCATAACGCGTACAAATGTACTTTTGTAGTGATTTAAATGAAATAGTTTCGTTTTCGTTTCTGTTATTTATATTTTTTCGAAATTACGTGTACAAACATGACATTTATTGACATAAGACACGGAAGAATTAGTAATGACCAAACCATTGACTGGGCACTTTTCTGGTTTATCACTTCCCTTTCAATCCAATCGAGGTGAGAATCAACGAGAAAACAAAAACATTGGTAATGTATAAATATGATTTCTTTCATTCTTAGAACTACGTCGATTTCTTCCAAGAAACTCGAATCTAATTTGTAGGGCACTCTTCGATTATTTGCGCAAGAATAAATCTTCAATTATTCTACTCATACGAAATATGAGGATCAGCTGCCTTAGCATACGTCAAAACGTTATACTTTATATATCTTTCGATTAATTAATCAAGAAATCTTGAAAATAAAGGGAAAAGTAAGTTATAAAGACAAGGAAGTATTCACGTCTACCCCTGTCGTTCTTCTCATGGTGAGAAGGTCAGGTGAGCTGTGTTTATCCCACCTTGATGTAGAGGTGGAGAGTGTCTATCGATAGATTCGAACTGCTATACGATGAATAAAAAGTACACAAACCATTCTGCTATTTTATATAAATAGATATTATTAGAAGAAAACTCTTAGTCTTAATGGATTTTTATTCAGAACAAAAATGTAACAAGTAAGTTTATTTGTAGGAATTTATCACTTCAATTCACTTTCCTCGGCATTCGATCGTGGGCCACTCGGATGGATCTCGTTGGGCTTGACGTTACATAGGTTTTTCAATAATCGCCAACATTTTTTCCCAAAAAAATATTTCACTTGTCGACGATATCGCGCCGATGACACCAGAAATATGTAAAAACTCATCTAAAACCGAAATTCTCTCAAAAATTTTCACAAAACATCAGTCCATCCTTTACCGTATAGTTGAGATTTAAAAAAGATGCCAAAATCGAAAACGATAATCGATCTATCGCATACGAATAAATAGTCACTTGACTAGTACTGATATTCAGTGCATAGATACGATAGATAGTATAAGGAGTTAGAACACAAACGAAACAAACAACTCGTATAAATATCATCGCTGTTAACTGTCGATCCAGTCGACGACGTTCATTGCCTATACCACGTCGAACTAAACGGCGAACATTTCGATAAGCAAGAAGAGCAAATGTAGATGAACCAAATAGCGGTAAGACTCCATGTAGAAATGGATAATAAAAGAATGAATAATAATGTGTTAAACAAGTACTAATCATAACACATCCAGTTAGAGGGACGATCTGATAAAAGATTCCAAAGGGTACAGTATGTAATGACCAAATAATAATGGCGATAATTGTTAGGCGGTGTGCCAGTCGAAGTGAACTCATTTGTCGAATGATCAATAGAGGATTTGTAGAGAGAAATTGATCTAATGCCGCAAAACATACCATGGATGTTGAAAGTAATCGAAATGCTTGAGGAATCATAGCTCTTACTTTACACCAACCAATCGAAACATTTCCAAGATCGAATCCATTGACAATTGGTAGAAGATTTATAATGAAAAGAATGGTTAACTGACATGTATTGACAACAGATTCAAAGATGAGATAGAAGGCACATTGATTTGATCGAAAGAGTTTCAAAGATGTTAAAACACATATGTTGATAAGATTTCCAATTCCACCGATAACGAAAATAGTGAAAGTAAAATACATAGAGAATCTTTCGGTAAAAGAAAGAATATCTTCAGCGACACTCATATTCATTGTGAAAGAAGAACAATCTGTTGAAATGTTCTTATTTCTTTGACGTGTTGTTTTCTTTTGTATTGATGCTTGATTACATCGCAGTTCTACTGTAAGATAAACTAGAAATTGGAAATCTTCAACGCAGGTAAAGCATCTGCCAAGCTGCTTAAATGAATAGTAATAAAATTAATGAAGAAGGATAAATCCATAGAAAGTAATATACTCATTTTGTCAGGAAGAAAGGAGAATACGTTAATTGTGCGAATTATCAGTGACAATATGAATTAAGGAATGTTCTTGTCATGGCGCAACTCACGTAAAATAATTTGATAGTTATTGAATTTTCGACAGTTTTGCTAGGCTTTTAGAATTGAAGTGAGTGGGAAAATTTATAAAAATAAAACAAATGAATGCATTCTTTGTAGAAACTAAACATGTTTGGTAATCGAAGCAGAAAGTAGTCATAATGATTAGTGAGATATTTGTCAGCGCGTACCTTTAGTTTCTCATTATATACGAATTCGAAGTAGATTAAAGAAGTATGAAATGATTCTCGTCAAAAACACATGAGATTCTAAAGTCCATATAGTTAACATTTAGTTCTACTCTAAAATCACAATCTTACTCTACCAGACGAGGAAATATACATAAAAACAAACAAATCTGTGTCAGTCAGTTCGTGATAAATGCTAATCAGCTAGTTCCTGGTAAGAATAACCTTTTGTTTTTGAATGAAATTCAAATTACCGAGCAGACAAGTTCGATTTGCTTAAGAATTATAAATATTACTCTGCCCGAGGTAGATCTCTAATAACCTGTCGACACTTTTTAGTTTTCCATTCATTTGTTACTTTGAAACTTCCTCTCGTTTCTTTAATTTTGTTGATCCATGACATTGCACTATCAATACTCGTGAAAAAGGTTTTCCTCCTCTTCTCTCTCTCTCTGTTTAAGTTATGTGACATCATCCCGCACTGGTTAAGTGACTATATGCTTAGAGATAGCCTCAAGCAGAAATTCCATCCGATTGAGAAACCAATTATATCATCACTTCTTCCACATATGTTTCCTTTTATCACATTCTGAAAATGGAATAGCTGAGCTTTGGACATTTCTTGAGAATATTTATTGAGCATTATTAAACAAAGCAAATGACTGACATATAGACAAAAAAATACTAAAAAATAAAACTAAACGCTCCTGCGTATATCTGATCTGTTCCAGTCGAAAACGTCAAGGTTCAATTTGACTGCAATTGACATAGAAATCCGTGAATATCTTGAAATGTTGGTCTTTCATGATGATTTAGTTTCAAACAAGCAAACATTAAATCCAGCAATTGATTACATTGCATTCTATCAATAAATGTCACATCTAAATCGGACGATAATGGTGGTGAGGAAAGAATTTCTTGATCAGATATATGTGCAAATGGAAGTAATCGACACGTCGTCAAAATTTCATATAAAGTTATACCAAAACTGTACACATCGGATTTTATCGAATAACCATTTCCACCATTCTATTGAACGAAGATTCAATGAAATAAGAAAATAATAAATAAGGAAAGACTTACGACTAATACTTCAGGTGACATCCATCGAACAGGTAAATGTGCATCTGTGGTGTAATAATGTGAATAAATAGGTGAAGCCATAGCAACATCAGTAAGTTTAATCATATAATTATTGAATACTAAACAGTTTCTAGTCGAAACATCACGATGAATCAATTGTCGTGATTCAAAATAAGACAATGCACTGGAGATTTGACATGTAATGAACAACATCGCTTGATGACTAGGAGAAAACAATTCAATTGATTAGTCGTTTCTCACGAAAATACATACTCAAGTTGAGCGTTCATGTCATTCTCGACGATTCGTCGCATGAATAAACATAAATCTCCTAGTTCCGTATATTCCGATACAACTGCCAGACCATCCAACGTTTTATAAAGAATATTCGCAAGGTTCGGATGATCAATCGAACATAACAATTGGCATTCTTGACTAAATAGCGATCGAGACATTGTAGAAACTTTTGTTAATCGTCGAATAATGACAGGACTATTTGAATGAACATTTCCAATAGAAATCTTTCCAAAGAAAACGTATGAGAAGATGAGTAACAGAATCATATCCGAAACATACCTGACCAAATCTTCCTTCACCATACAAATCTCCTGCCGGGACGATTTCACTTGAAATCAATTCAACTTTTCTCGGTGGTACAATCATTTGTGGTGTATTTGTTAGTGCTCGCATCATTAGACTTGTTCCACATACACCACGTAATGTAGATGACATGTCATTAGTTGCGTTATTAACACTAATAATATCAGTTGACGCATAAAAGTTCGTATCACTATCGATTCCATTCGTCGAAAGAAGTTTGACGCATTGCGGATGATGGAATGTGGTGGAAGGTAAGCATTTGTTTCGCGCCAAGAGTTTTGGTGTGCCGCTGAATGTTGAAGGTTCGGATGTACTTGGTGCACTGTAGGAACTTTGACTACGATCTAAGAAAAAATGATTGATTATTCATTCTAATCGACCGATCGCACTTACTGGAACTTTGAGTATCTTTATCAATATTGTTGCAACATGGAATTTGAAGTTTTAATTGATTATCATTATGACATCCTTGTAGAATAAGTTTTTCTCCATAACTGTAAAGAGAGAAAGACAGAAATAAGATTATTCTGATGCCTTCTATACGAACCGATTTAGTTTTCGTTTGTTTCGATGTTTATGAAACATCGCTGAAAAGCAAAGAACGACGATAATCAATGCAATGGAAAGAACAACAGCCAGAATAATAATTGACTGAAGTGGAATTGTAATCGTTGTCACTGAATTGAATTTCGATGAGTATTTCTCTAAAAGAAAATATTTTTAATCATTATGATTACTTTTTGTTCTCAAATGTCAATATTCAACACTTCACTTCTTCTCACACTTGATTTAATCAAGTACGTTAGCCTCTAGTGATGTCGATATTGTTTTTCTTAATAAAACTACACTTGATTTCTCATCAGGGGAAGAACAATGACTTGATTTTGTTTTCTTTTACTTACCATTCAATTCGGCGAGTAGTTTCAAATCTTGAATTTCATTGGAATGAAATTGTATTTCACTAATTAACATCCAATTGGCATTTCCAAAGGTTAATTCGATCAAAATCATCTTTGCTAATTGTTCCTTCAAAGGAATATTTATCCATCGCGCTTGTTCAGATTGTCTATCATCGGATAATTCAATTAGAATTTGTTTATTCTCGAGAAAATGTTCATTCAACGACGTGGTGAGATTAATTCGACGGAATTGTTCGACATCTTTACTAAACATGTTGTTTGTATGAATGTGAATTTCCGTAAAATTTCGAATGGAATCAAAGATGAATTTCATTTGGATCGTCGTTCGATTCTGAATACTTTTTTTCCAACCGATCCATTCAAAGCCACGTAAACCCCAACTTTGTGTATCTACACGAATATCATCCGAGCCAGTGTCTCCATCGACTAATTGTCCGAGTCCATACGCTAATGGTGAACCATAACTATCGTAAGTCTTATCACTGAAGTCCATATCAAATGCTCGTCTGTCGCCTTGTGGAATCGTGTAGGACATTAGATGATCAGTGCTTAGACATCCGTATAATTCTAATCGAAGACACATGCGTTTGGCTTTTTTATCTTGAGTTTGCACTGGATAGATACGTAATTGTTTTGCAATGATTGGTTGAGCGATTTCACGAATTTCGGCGATATTATTGTTGGAATTACCGTAGAATGTTTCTTTTTTACGAAAATCACGGTATTTTATCCATGGGTGGGTTGGATCACGACGATATTCTAATCGATAATAATCAACGTAATCTTCCTAAAAAGAAATCATCAGATTTGCAAAGAAGATCTTTCAATATTTTCTTTTACTTGAAACGGGCCATGTCGTCCTTGCGTTTCAATCAACGTAATAACCGTCAAATTGAAAAAATTCACTTGAAGATACTCTTCACTCTGACTATTTATTAACGATTTCGGACACCAGCCGCCTCCTTCGATCGCCGATCGAATACGAGCTGTATGTGGGCCGAGAGAAACATCTAACGATGAACTTGCCGCGAACGCTGAATCTGGTATCGCACCAGATTGAATTCCGAGTGGTGCTCGGCATGTTCCTTAACACGAAAAAATGTTATTTGAAAATGATACAAGATGAAAAAGCAAAGAACATGTTTATTACCGAGATCTAAACCATAACATAGATGATTGATAAGGAGTATGAAGAAAATTAGAAGCATAATTATGGCTTTAATCTAAAACAATAAATATACAACTAATCAATATCTTCTGCTCGATCGATTGCATCGAACAAATCTCTCTTTTCTCGCATCTCTCAGGAGATCGTCTGATGAAGATAAAAATTCGTCATTTTTGTTTCTCTCTCGTCCTATTTCATACTTATGTAAGAAGATTCACACGACTGACTGGTAAAACAATAAATAAATCAAATGGTAAAAGTGTTCACACGAGAAAATTGTTATTTAATCAATGATGATGCTTCGAAGAGAAGATCATATAAACGAAGACGAAGATGAATAGCTTGCATCGATATTTTTTTCATAGTTATTGTTTGTTCTCGATGTGCACTCATCATGTCATCGGGGCGAAATGTACAAATGATGATGATGATGATCATCATCATCAAGAAAAATGAAATAACAAACATATCTATCAGACCACACTCGCGGCGTGTTCTCAGACAATGGCTTGAAAAGAATAACTTTCCTGACATTCCAAACAATCCGATTGTATAACTGACTACGAAGAGAAAAGTTAACGAAAACAATTTGTTTGATAAGACTCAAGGAAAAGAAGATCTATTTCATATGCTCGATGCATAAAACGCTTTCTTCATCGCCGTTCAAATCAAATTATCTCAGACACATACATTTCCTTCTCTTATCTACTTATGCAATCACAGTTCCAGTTTTATCTACGAGCAGGCTATCTATCTGACGACACATCTACACAACAATTCGTCGTCGGCATGCGTTACACCATCTTAGACTCGCATAAAAGAATGAAATTACGTACGAAACCTTAGGTATATTCTTCTTCTTCTTCTTCTTGACGAGACAAGTTTACTTGTGTCGATGTGAAACAAAATACCATTTAAAACAAGAGAGACAGAACATCGATATCACACTTGATTATTAAGAGAAAGAACAGAAGAAGGAGAAAAAAGAACGACAGACGTGTATACGTACGTTGTACANAAGATCTTCTGTTAACAATTCATCAGAAGAAGATTATATACATATGAAATAATCTTCGACAGACAAAGTTGTTCGACATATGCAATTTCTACTTGCCTTGCAGTCTATTGATGTGCTATTAGAGGAAATGGAAATAAGAATGTGTGTAAGCCTCATTTTTCTTTACGCATATGCATATGCCTTGTCTGTTAATGATACAAGATAAATATTATGACGACCGCCCTTTACTTCTCTCATGGTCATTCATTCTTCTTCTTCTTTCATAGTCATGATGATATATGAATGTAGTTCACACATTCATTGAACATTATATCTGTTTTGATCTTGAAATACAATCAGCCGGTCGTTTACAGAGCATCTGGTTTAATTGCATTCAAGATGCTTTCGATATATGTATAATATACCCCATACTAAGATGATCAAACGTTGACCATTCTTGTCTTTTAACAACGAAGAACAATATACATCGATTTGTATTCATGAAAGAGAAAAAAAAACGAAGAAAATTAATGATAACCAAGGTAGCTCATATGTCAAAATAGACAAACTAGTCGATCTTTTTGAACTAATGTTCTGAATGAACATCAATCACGATCGAAAACGATGATAGGGTTAAATCTTATCTGTATAACGATGTAAGCATCTGCTTGATGAAATCACTTCTTTCTTTAATTTAATCTGAACTTCATTCACAAATGTATACATACGATGTTTATCCATATGCTTATATGTTCAAAAAATAACCAGGGACAATTTGATTGTTCCACTAACACACCACTAGATCGGATGAAATTTCAAGGCGAAAGTGAATTCTTTTGTTTGAACAACAGATCAGTCTATTGAATGAATGAACGATGACAAAGCATACATATATCTATAGACACTAGGGGATGCTTGTTGTCGTTCTAACTGCTGTTGCTTCTGCTACTACGACTACTGCATTTAATTGAATCTATTGTCTTTTTCTTCTCTCTCTCTCTTCGACTATTATCACGCTCGACTCGCTTGTTATAGATGGTGTTTGTCGAATGTGTCACCATCCGTTGTGCTACCGATTGAAATGATGAACAACAGAAAAAAAGTGACATTCAACGACACCATCTGTTCAATATCTTGATCAAATAAAGTTGAAATATTGATTTTTTTTCCAATATTTGATCTAAAGTGATGACATAAAAATCAACTTCGATATGGTGATCATGATTGATTAAGAAGATTTCTTTTGCGTATTTAATGACATTCACGTTAAAGAGACACTCAATTACATTGAACGAAACGGTACGATTACGTATTAATCACATTTAAATGTTCTTAAATTTGCATGATCAAGTATACTGTAAAATGACCCAATGATTCGTCTACTTCTAGTTACCATTATCAAATAACATGAGGAAGTAATCTGAACTTTAGTCAAAGCTGTGAAGAAGAAGCCAAGGGGTTGATATTCAAGATCAGAATAACAAAACGCTTGACAAATCAATTAAATCATCTCTTTTTTTTATCGAAAAACTAACACGCATAACCGTATTCTCAAGTTGCTCCGACTTTTATATCTTTGATGGTCAATATATTAGGTTAATGGTTACTTCTTCCACATATGTGAGATCAGTTCACATCCAGGCAAATCTCATCTACTTCGAATATTTTCTCGTAAAGAAAAGTTAATATTTAGGACGTAGATAAATGAACTGAAACTTGTAGTTTGTTAATCAAAACTGTCGAATAAAACTCGTACAATTATCATCAAATATTAGATTTCCAAGTTCAATAGTAAAATAGGAACAAACCTTGTCATTGAAATTCTAATAAGACATTGTGTTAAGCTAAATGAAACGATAGAAGAATGAAATGCCTTCTATTTACGATTAACTATCAGGCATGTATATATACATTGATCCGATTTGAATAGAAAGACCTTCGTAGGTAATCTTATCAAAGGCTAATACACTCTACGATGACCTTCAGTGGTATTTGTCACATTTTCTTTTCTCTGAGACATGCAATCAAATAGCGAGAAGGACAAGATTTTCTTAAATTGTCGACAGAGAAAAAGACAGAAATGGAAGATTTTTCTAGTTAACATCATCTTCTTCTTCTCAGCAACTTAGAATACTTGAAAATTTTTAATAAATAAAAGCAAAAATAATTCATGTCATGTGTGTACATTGTTTTGTATTTAACAACAGAAGAAAAATATACAGTCAACAGTCAGTTGTCTGATTGAGACTATTTTGTTAGCAGTGTCTACCACCGAAATGGTGACCACCATGATGATGATGATGATGATGATGATTAAATCCAAAACCAGGACCCATATGATGATGAGGACCAAAACCGGGACCCATGTGATGGTGAAGACCAAAGCCAGGTCCTAGATGATGATGATGATGAGGTCCTGGACCAAAATAATGAGGATGATGTGGTTCGAAATGTGGATGAGGAGGAGGATAATGCCCGTAACCACTACCCATAGTTGTTGGAGATATTACTTGTGCGTAAAACTTTGTTTAATGAAATGAACTGCAAGTGCAAAAAAGCAACGTATGACATTCTTATATATATATGTCAGAAAAGGAAACGAGAAGATTTGACGTTGTTAGCTACTGTTATGAGTAAGAAAAATTCTTCCTCTGACGTTTGGTAGAAGAGAAAATAATCATCATCGAAGAACAGATTTGCGTTGGCAGAAATGCCAAAATATGAGTCATGATTTAAATGTGAAATAAAATGGCGACAGATCGTGTCATCAATGACAGTAACATAATTTATATTTTATTACGAAGTTAATATTGAAAATCTTATGATCGAGTATAACATATACGATTGAGTTGCGGGTCTTTGTTCTTCGTGATCTTCATTTGCAACTTTCAAATATGACTCATCGTCAACACCATAGACCTATTCGGGAAAAAGTCTTATAAGAGACTAAAATACCCAGTCGACATAGTTATATATTCGAAATACGACATTTTCTAAATCAACGTTTCGTTTCTATACCAAATGTCAGAGAAAAAACAGGGAATTTCAAAAGAAGGTGCCGTTGGTAAAAATATGTCTGGTGCTCTTGCGGGTCGAACTGACGGTGCGGTATCAAAGAATTATCAAGGAATGCCTCGCAATGCCAATCCACACTATCCTCATAATCCAAACAATAGTCTACCCGTATCTGAGTGGACTCAACAGAAAATGCAACAGTGTCGAAAAGATGCAGCAAAAAAGAACTGAAACAACAGAAAATTTGCTGTTTTACTAAACAAGATTTTTTTTGTTCGGATTATAAAAAATACTCAATAAAAATATTGCGAACATACTGACTTAATCTGATTTGTAAAATGAAATGTCCACATGAAGGTAAGTAGAAAAATAATCTTTACTAAAGAAGAATATATTCATCGACTATCCAAGATCAACAGATGACTGATCTTTCTATTATCTTTGCTAGTTATATATTTGGTACAAATAGAATCGTTATTTGTTTTTAGATCACTTGAATCATTGTCGTAGATACTGATTAAGAACTGGAAAACTCTATTTCGATCATTAGAAAACGAGTCAAATGATCGTCCAGTTAGAAAAGCGGTTAAAAAGAAAGCATAGGACGAGTTGTGATTATAGCATAAATACACTTGTTTAAAATTTGTTTCTTGATAATATACATTTATAAAACAAATGCATTTTGTGGATTTAGCCATGCTACTTAATATTTATGAAATCAAAGATAAAACTTGTACAGAAAATTTTCGATAAATGATATAGTAGAGGTAGATCAAACAAGTTAAATACACTTTACAGTTTTAAGGTAGTTTCGTGTTGCACTTGTATATTTATTTTCTTGCACATAAATAAATTACTATTTTCTGTGTCTTATATCATCAATTTAGTAATGAGATCACCTACTTTTTGCTGATCGAAATATTCTTAATCTATTAAGAAAATAAATGTGATTTAGTCATTCAATTAAAGAATATATGACCTTCCTGATCTTAAAAGTTGAACACAAATGAAAAGTTCCGTGAAATGTCAATAAATTAATAAAGTCACTTGATTTCATCTGAACATTGTTCACTGTTTCAGATATATGTTTGATCTCTAAGTGTATTATGAAATATAAATTGCATCGACGTGCGAAATCGTTGATGAATATTATTTCATTATTTGAAACAAATTTTTATAGAATGTTTTGGTAATTAACTGTTATATTATCGAAAACATAAAGAATATCGTACAATAAAACTATTGCAGTATTGATCTTGTCTCATGAGAGAACCGATGACGTTTCTTCTTTTGAAGGTTTATATATATGTTTGTCTATTACGGTAACAATGAATGGTTAATCAATAAAAATGAATTTCTCATCACCTGTTGCACCTCTCGTATGAAACGTCCGTCATTTTATTGACGTAAATGATAGTGAAGTTTAAACCTCATCTTCAAAGAACTAAAATTAATAATAGATGTACTTTGCTTTTAAATTAAGGAAGAATCTATTTGAAATTGTGAAATACATTCAAACCATAAAAAAACATCAACCACTGATGTATATTCTTCTATTTTGTTCTGAATAGAAGCCTCACAAGGTCTTTTTAGTATAATTTCTTGTAAGAATAGATTTAATAAGTTATTTTTCTTTGATACGCATACGATTATGACAGGCAGCTTTCTTCTCGATGTTTACATAGGTAAAGAAAGTGAGGATCGTGTATAAATATTACCTTCAAAAACCTGTATTATTCCCTCGACTGATAGGAGAGTCACATGCAAAAAAAATACTCTTTTTATCATACTGACAAGGATAAGCTTGATTTTTTTTTCTGTGATACAATCGTTGAACAGAATATCGAGAAAAAAAGTACAAAAATGTCACAAGTCCGTGCGACGATATGCATTTGTGTGTAGTCATAGTCAGGAAGAAGAAGAAAAAAAAAAGGTATTCAGAAATTTTTTCTCGACGTTCTTTTTTACTTTTTGCGTTCTATGATTTTTCTTTTCTAGTGAGCATAGCATACAAATTGGACGACACGCATCGAGATAGAAGAACAAACAGCAACATTTATTTATACGCTAATATTCTCTATTTGAGACAAAGGTTAGGAGAAAAGCAACACTAGACATGCGTTGGTTGATTTTCAGTTATGAACAAGATTCCATTGTCAAACAATGTGATGATATTTTACATGTTGTGGGACAAACTGTCGTTCATGAACATCATCATGGAAAGTCTTCCATCGAAGACGTGAAAGCAAAAATTACACGACATCAACCAAATCGTATCATTGTAATTGTCAATGACGATAAGTCTGAACAAGATCATTCACTTTTAACAACATTAAACGATCATCTTTTGATTCCTTTGTATGTTGCACAAGCAACTATTAGTACGTATTCACCAATTCCTGTTCTACTACTGTCATTCACAACAAGAAACGAACCTTCTGAGTCAGTGTCACCAACTGACATCGTACAAAATGCAACGGATGAATTGATCAATATTTATCCACATATCATCAAGTACGTTAAACAATATCTTCTCTTTCCAAATCAGACTTTCTCTGTTTAGCGCAAAAATTTTTACAGCGATCACGGACGAAGACTTAAATGATAATACCTTATTGGCCAAATTTCGATCTTTATGGGGAGAAAATCCTGAAGAATCGCATTACATTACAATCCTCTCAGATGCCTTACCTATCCTATTGGCATTGATACACGACGGTAAAATCAGTGGTCAAGTCGATATTTGTAATAAAGGTACGATTTCAATTCAATGGTTCGAACAATATCTTTCTAAACAAATCAAACGCGATCTTAATGGTCAAAAGATTGTTTCTGGTGAAAATATCACTGACACATTCGAAAGATGGAATAAATCGATGATAACACCTGAAACACGTCATCTCTATCAAGCAGCGTTTACATTACCAAATGCGGCAACAAGTATCGAACAATATCTTCAACAAAAGTCCATTCAACTCAATCCAAATGCACCACGAATTATTTTAGTTACAGGTGGTTGTGGCTTTATTGGAAGTACATTTATTAATCATTGGCTTGAAACATATCCCGATGATCGAATCATTAATATCGATCGATTAGATCCTGTTTCCAATACGAAAAATATTGAAAATTCTTCGTCACCAAACTATTCATTAATCGTTGCTGATATTAGTAACAAAGACATCGTTTTGCACTTGATGAAACAATATAACATCACGCATATTGTTCATTTTGCTGGTAAAGTCTTTCGATTTATCTGTAGCATTATTTGTTTCTATATTAATCTTTGCAGTTCAAGCTCATTTGGATAATTCATTCGGAAATAGTATAACATTTACTGAAACAAATGTCTATGGCACGCATGCGGTTCTCGAAGCTACTCGAATCTACGGTAAAATTCAAAAATTCATTCATATCAGTACTGATGAAGTTTATGGTGAGTCGCCGGATGGAAGTTATCAAGAAACAAACCTTCTGAATCCATTGAATCCTTATGCAGCCACCATCGCTGCTGCCGAATTTCTTGTGAAATCGTATGGTGAAAGTTTCAAACTATCGTATTGCATCGTACGTTTAACAAACGTCTATGGACCACGACAACATATCGAAAAACTGATTCCTGCGTTTGTAAACAACTTACTTAAAGGTGATAAATTAACAATTCATGGTGATGGTAAACAGCAACGACTTTATATTTATGTTGATGATGTTATCAAAGCTGTCGAAAGTATCTTTCATCGTGGAAAATCAAAAATGGTTTATAATGTTAGTGGAGAAAAAGAACTGAGCGTTTTAGAGATTGCGAAGAAACTTTTGGAAAAATTTCATCTTGATCAAAAGGCTGATGAACTTATTGTGCATGGTAAACCACGTTCATTCACGGAAAAACGATATTCAACAACAGCAACAAGTGGGGCAATGAAAACATTAGGATGGACAGCAAAAGTTTCGTTTGATGAAGGTTTAGATCGAACAATTCAATGGTATAGAGAACATTCCGACTATTGGACAAAATAGGATAACAAATTCTATTGAAAATTTACCAAAAGAAAAACAGTCTTGTGATAATCTCAGCAGATCTTATTCTTTTTTTTTCTTACAATAAATATTGAAAAATCACGTTCAATTTCGTATTTATTTTTATGAACAAAAGGGTATGCGTACATATGCAAAGAAGAACTCGAATAAAAAGATGTTAATATACTGTAATATAAAATGAGATCTAAAAGAAACGAAATCATTCGAATAACATAGGAAAGAAAGTACACGAAATTGGCAGGGATCATTCGTCTTGTCGAGATATATGAATGATATGTTTTTTCATATGTCCTACAAGAAAAAAAAGAAGAGATTGGGATATTTTGATTAAAAAATAATCATCTTCAATTACGATCAAGATTTGTTTGTTGACCAAAACGTTTTCCGCATTCATTACATCCATAAGGTCGTTCTTTATGATGAATACTTCGAATGTGTCTCTAAATAACAACCAATGCTCATCTCATTCATTGAAATTCGTTGAGTCTCACTTGTAAATTCGATGAGATGCTAAATGCACGTGTACACATTAAACACGTATACGGTTGTTCACCTGTATGACTTCGCAAATGTCTGGTGAGATTCGCAGCACGAGGAAATTGTTTCGAGCAAAATTCGCATTCGTAATAACCATTTCCATGTAAACGATGTTGTTGATGTTCGATTTGCTGTTTTTCATCTTCATCCTCCTCATCCGATATCATACTACTACTATTCGATTCATCTTCAATAGAACTTTTCTTCGGAATGGTCAGATCCAATGGTGTATCACATAGACTTTGTTCATCTTCTTCGTCTTCGTCGTCTTGTCGTTGTTGTTGTTGTTGTTGCTGCTGCTGTTGATATAGATGGAATAAGATTTGTTTGTGCAGAAGTGTCCATGCGTCTAACGGAAGTGTTGGAGAAATTAAACTTTCTTTTGTGGAATTATTTGCTAATGAATGATACACTTGAGTAGCGGCAGCACCAATTGCTTTACATTTATTTTCTTCGTTGAAGTTGCTTTTCTGAGATTGTTGATTTGATACACAAGATTTCTTGTGTCTTACATAGAATTGTCCGTTCGGAAATGTAATCAAGCATGTTGGACATTTGATTTCACGTGAATGAATGCGTTTATGACGACATAAATTCGATGATTGAGTATAAGCTTTCGAACAGATCTGAACAAAAAGTTTTCAACAAATGAAAAACTTAACATTCGACTCTTCCGTAGAACTTACTTCACATGTATAAGGTTTGATTGTTTTATGTATATGCATGTGTTGTTTGAGTCCACTAGGAAAGAAAGATCTGTTGGATGAATTGCTAATGAATAAAGATAATTTTTACCTATGTGTGGCAAATGATTTTCGACATTCAGTACATTGATGATGATGATGATGATTTTGTTTTAAAGTTGAAGATGATGAAGAAAGTAAAGATAACATTGTAGGAGAAAAACGAATGTTTGTATGTCTTTTGCTTAATCGAATGAATTGGTTGTACCGTTTTAGCTCGATGCCATTATCAAAGTCTCATTTATATATTCTCTCTCGATTTTATCGTCTACCTGC